ATTTCGTGTGTTCTTACAGGCATATGGCATGTAAATTTTTTGTACGTTTGTAATTTTTTTGTTTAGTCATTATTACAATGTCGTATAAATGGGAAAAGACACCATATTACTAACAGATTCTACGAGTATAATTTAATAAATTAACAGTAAATAATGGCTATGTTTCGACAAAAAAGACACATGCTGTTGACAACAGAGCAAAACTATATTTGATATCAAACTTGCTGCCGAACAAATTAGATATATGAATAATTAAAATCGATGACATGTTTAACTTATCAGAGTAAAATAAATTAGTCTCAATACAATTCCATTTTCAATTAAAGAACATATTTACGATATATACTATACGCTGTTTCGGACATTCAAACATTCAAAAGATATTCAAGACATTATATTTTAATGCATGTCATTAAGTATATGTCTTTAACTTACACAGAAAGAATATTTGATATTCTAAACTCTATCTGTCTAGCATACTTTTGGTCAATCCTTAGGGTTTTTTTTCAACAATTTCGTTTGTAATTTAAGGAACACGTTATCTTGCATGTTAAAATATTGAACAACAACTTAAATAAAACAAGTAAACGCGTGGTCAAAATGACACGAATTACAAATGTATCATAATGTATTTGATCACAAGGAGAAGTATCTTTCTTTTGAAATAATGGCATTGTAACAAATCAAATGAAACACAACCTTTCAATGTTCCTTACCTTACACCCGTTTTCTTGTACAGAAAATATTCCTAATATTAGCATAGTTGATTGGCATTTATTCTCAACTCGAAAGCAAAGTTAACATAATATTGCTAGTCCAATGTCTTTGAATAATGTCTCTAAAGTATTGTTTTTGTTAAACCTATTCTGTTTTGTTTCAATCACCATGACCGTTTTGAAAGATTATAAGTTTCCATTATCCTGTTCTGGCAAATCGGCCATGAAGATTGCCTTCCTGCCTTTTAAAATATTTTTTCATCAAAGCACAAACACCTTGGTATTTGATAAAGCTTGGATTGATGTCAGCGAGTGCTGATTATTGAACTGGTGACATTACAATATAGTCAACAAAAGAATTTTGTTCTCTTGGAATATGAGCGTCATTAAATAATCGACAAAGAAATTTGCTAACGTATTTTTGAACTCTAAATAGATTAAATTTGTGTTTACGGGGCGTAATAGCTTTACACAATTGGATGCAGGATCAACCAGTATAAGGAGAATGTAAATATCGAAGGTGTTATTGACCGCTGAACTGATATCATGTTCTTTTGTGATATTTTATTTAGAAATATATAAACGTGACATTATGGAAAAGTTACATTCATATAATTGTCATTTAATGTGGAAGATATCAAAAGATTGGATAACTTAATTACGACGGAAAACATAAGTATTTTGTGTTTTATTATTATCATTAGTGTTGTTGATGATGATGTTGTTATAGCTGGTGTTGTTTTATTTACATGTATATGATGTGTATTAATGTTATCTTCAGTTGGCTTATGTACGTGTTTATAAATATCTGTATAAATATCTCTTTAGTTCAGTGTTTTAAATATATGAAACATAATGAGTAGCTTTTATGATAGTATTTTTGCCTTCCAGTAGTCTTATTGAATAACGTATAAAAGAAATAACGTATGACATCCATATTTGTTAATTTACAGTGCTGTTAAATGAATGATTATCTGCTACACGATATATAGGCATTTAGTTGTTATTATTAGTTATTCATGCTTGAAATTAATGTAAAAATGTAATATATTATACAATTACATGTATTGACTTTTGAGTTATTGCATATTATGTGGATATTTACCAACATAATGTCCTATTGACCGATGGGGTAATTTTGATCATTTTACAGACATCAATGTTCGAAATATGTATTTAATCATTGATATTTTTATGTTACGTTGCCGCTGTCCCATGCAAAGGATCAATGTCAAGTAAAATGATATCACTTATTGTTGCCACGGACATGCTTACAAAAGGATTTCTCAATTGCTTCAGTTACAATTAACTTTCGTATTTTTCTTTGATAATTGATTGGATTGCGTATGAGAAGTTCGTTACTTTGTATAAATACTTTGACATCTAGTTTAAAAGAAGAAAAACAAGAATATTGCATTAAAAGCAAATAATAAATGCATTTATAAAACTTAGATATAATTGACTTATCAATTATGTGAGTGATATCAGTTCTAATATCTGACTTTTTAAACCAAGTTATTCTTTACATTTTTATCATTACATATCATATAAACAGCGGAAAGCAAGCCCAATAAATATCTGATAAAAATCTAATTTGGAAAATTCTTCACGGCATGAGTAACCAATGACATCTTCGGAACAATTTATGAAAATATAGAAAATTGTTTTGTTGTGTTTAAGGCATTGTACAGGAAATGTTATAGAATCTATTCAACGTGTCATTTTTTAAAGTGTCATTTGCATTTATCGTTGTTTTAAATCAAATGTGTGTGATTCTTTGATTAACGAGAGTTGCCTGTGATTCTAATTGTAAAAAACAATAACAATGTCCCAGCGATATTTTATTGAACTCGCAGTGTCATACTGGAAATAGCTATTGTAATTATTAGGAAAACATTGGCTAAAAACAGATAAAAAAACCTGGCTACATTCTGAAGAACGAATACACCAGAAATAAAACAATATCCCGGCATGTCATCCACTCGGTACAAGTGATGTTTGAACGTCAAAATGATTAATGTATATTCATATTAAAAAAAGTATTGAGCGATGTTATTTCGGTCACGATGATGTAACGCCATAGCTTCGATGCTTAGATTCAGCGTTACTTTTGTATACTTCCTGCGTTATTTTCACTTTCCTGCGTTACTGGTTATACACATTCTGCCAATGGACTTACCAGATTATTGGCCTCTATTTAAAAGAGAAATAATGAATTAATCCATGAAGTTTGACTTGACAGAAATTGGCACTAGATTTCTATATATATTTGTTTTGTACAACGTTCCGCTATGAATTTTATTATTACATTTTATATTTGTTTGTTTGTTTGTTTCATTTTAGGCCTTTTCCCAACAGTATTTCAGTCATGTAGGCGGGTAGTTTCCTAACCATCGTTCCTGGAGAATTACACCAGTACTAGACTACCTTCCTTCGCGCTAAACTACTAAAGCATCTCCCGGGGATCGAACCCACTACATTTTATAAGAATTTCTTGTGTTCAGCATTATTTATTCATTTCTGTAACAGGAATTAATTGATTTTAAATGACATCAACTTAATTAGGGTATCGATAATTTTTTTCATTTTTTTGGTATTTATTAAAAGAGCAGTGTAGTCAGATATGTGTGAACATATTCTCACATCATGTTTCCTGGTATAAATAAAATATATTTGATCGGTGAATATTTTCTTAACTGGCAGACGAAACATTGATTACAAATTGTGATATTTTCGAGTTAATAATCTAAGAACATATGATTGAATATCCGGAGTGTATGTTGTTTGCTCTCTAGTGATTATCTTATCAGACGACTACAAATCGCGCGAAAATTAATTTTAAGGTATTAGATGCCTAATGCAGAACCTCCTTTCTGAAGAGTATTCATTTTCAGTGAGAATTCTGATTTACGTGGGGTTCACGCCCTACTCGGTGGGCCAATTTTTAATTTTATAATTTTAATTTTTATTCTTTTTGTCTGGTCAAATTATGGTATTTTGTGTCTTTTTTGGTCTTCTTGAAAAGTCTTGAAGTCAGATATATTTGCAAAAAAATGTATGTATTTTTTAGTGTTAAATGAGTGAAAATAAGGTAGGTTTACAATTTAAAATCGAGATCATAAATCTCCCTTACTTTTTTGCACAAATACTCCAATTGTATTTGTATACTAGAAACTTTTGAAACATTGTCAATTATATATCTTATTCATTTTATCATGATAGAACAGTTGTGCAAAATTGATACACGCAGCTTTTGAAATTAATAAAATAGAAGAAATTGTACATAATTCATAACAAAATGATAAATGTCTAACGTGGGCGCACTTAAAGTGTAGCGAATAATAAACTCGTGTTTAAAACATAAGTCAACGAGTGCAAATAATTCAAGTCAGTGACGTCTTTCAATAATTGAATCTTTTGTTTATTCAACAATAATTTCAATAATTATGTTTATCATTATCATCTTTAAGTAATGTAATTATCTATTCACTTTCATGATGTGAAACTGATGTTCATCGCAAAGAGAGCAGTTCACTTTTATTTAATATTTGTATAAATATGTACAGTCGTGGCAGTCAAACTTTGGTTTGAAATTTGCATGGACACGGTACCTACACCACGTAACATTTAGTAATCTGCGTTGGGCAGAAAAGTCGGTCCATTTAATAACTTGTTTTAATACTTCATTTTAAAAAATAAGTTAATTAAATGTATCAGTGAAGTATTATGAAATATTATGAAGTCATTGATTGTAATTAAGGTACTAAATGTTGCTTCGGTGTATTAATATAAATGCTTATGTTGTTAGTTTTTTAATAAGATTATCAGACATGTTTTTACAAGTAGTTATATTAAAAAAGAATTCGATTGTATATTATGACGTATACTTATACTTGAGATTCCCTTGTGAAAACTAAAAATGTAAACTAAATTATTTTGTTTTCAATTATTCAAAACAAACATAGATATCACGTGCAGTTAATTAAACAATCCTCGATCCCAATTTCTGGACAAACCAGTGCATTTGAGAAATCATTATTATGACCTGTGGTGGGCTTGACAAAAAAAATATGTCTGCTGGAATTGTGCTTGTAAAAAGACTAGCTGGTTTTGTATGGATTATTCCAAAAATGCATGTTTTATTGCGTTAGCACTTCGTGCTTATTGACTAAAATTACGTGCATATTTTACGAGAAAAGAACACGATATCTTTATTGGCATTAAAATGTAATTACGTTCTTTTGTTTTAACAACCATTAACAAAATGTGTAATAAATCTTCCGTGGAAATAAACACTGCTGATCAAATGCAAGTTGAGAACAAGATTGATTTCGCATCATGTCATGTTTACCTGAGAGCAATCAATTCTAATAACTTTCCTTAAATATGATACCTATCAACAGAATTATTGATAAAAGACACTTGAAACGAAATTGATCGGCGTTGTTGTAGAGGGTGGCAGAATTTTATTAAAATAAAGATACGCTTAAAGTACACAAAATGTGGACATTTGACTACGTACGAGAGCAAATTCACGCATACTCTATGGTTTGTGAAACATTTGTTTTGAGTTCTAGACTTTGGACAATGTGCTGGAAAACAGGGGAGTTTACCTATCTGTTTATCCCATGTGAATAGAAGACTACTAGTGTTGTGAAAAAGTTAATGGATGTTTCATATATAAAAATACAACATAGATATTACGATATATATTATTTGGCTAAGCTTTGACATTCTAATTAATACATTTATGTCTTCAGGTTAGATGCTTGAATCACCAGGATTAAAGACTAGAATGGAAAATAAGAAACCAGCTGTGGAGGTCAGGTTGAATGGTGTAAGAACTAATTTGACTGAAACAGTGAAAAATGGCATCATACCTAACGGAGAACCTCAGGCACACTCAAGTGACGTCAAATATGGAGGAGCACGTGACGTCACAAAGGATACGAATGCATCACAATCGTCAGAGGTATATTGTAAAAAAGATATAATAGATCTTTATGAATATAAGACAGGAGATGTCTTATTTATAAACGTTTTTTAACTTGAGAAAAATAAATGAAGCGACCTTTTAGTGATATTTATAATAAATGAAGTTTAAGTAAATCGCCAGCGAATGTCACATTCATATAACATGTTTTCAGATCATTAGCTTACTCTGTTTTTCCAGAATAATTAATTTACGCGTTGCAACGCTTTTCATTGAAATCGGGCTTAGGGTAGGAATAAAATACTATCTTCATTTTTTCTAAGTATATTCAAACAGTCTTTTGTATATTTTTCTGTTTTAAATATCCCAGTTGATCTAAGTAAGAAATTCAACTTTCATATTTCATGCTTTTGATCCTCAGTGAAGTTTCTTTACGAGTTTCTAGTTATAAGACTACTGATACATTTTATAACAATGGAGCCAAGTGAAGTCATAATGATACTAGTATTTAATACGAAAGAGATGTACAATTATTGCATGTTGATTCCAGACCTTAACTTACTAGGAATGAAGGTCTTCGCTATCAGTATAGACCCAGGCAGCCTACACATTCATGCTGTCAGATCAGGCTCTATACTGTTGGTAGGTCAATTTTTGAGTCCATCAAATTTCAAATGGACGGTCCCAAATTTAAAGCAGGGCAAATACATTATACACAATTTTATTCTGCAGGTAAAAGATAATGTCCGTCTGAAAATTTTCAGGTAAAGCCGTTTCTATAACAGTCCCACTCAAACGTTATTCGTACATTCATTTCACGATATTGTTTGTGACTTTACAAACTTGATTGTTTTCTTTATTGACTCAGAACTGTTGACTCTTTCTTTGTTTTTTTGTCATGAAATATTGAACAAACGGGATTTTTTATTTAGATAAAATAATTCTATTTTTAGTAAAATATCCTTTATACAATACATAAATATTGTAAGCGCTTATCTTTTTGTTGACTTTAGGGTTTTAATGCATAGGTAAAAAAGTGCGTAAGTACTTTATTGTTGGAAGATCACTACAAGCGCGGGTATAAATAAAAGAGAATGGTATATCTATAATACCGGTATAATAATTTATAACCCTCTTACTTCAATATTACACAACTTAATGCATTGTAGCATTTAACTTTATGGACGTAAATTGTAATTTTGAGACAAAATCCACTTTAGAGCGGACTCGACATAGTCAAATATCACCCTTAAATACACAGTGACACGGCCGAGCTATTCAAATATACACATAAATTGTAAATATTTGCAGAAACTAATGTTGTCATTGAAAAGTAAATTATTAAATAAAGTTTGATGTTTAACCTGGAAGGTGAGGTGATCTATGATTCAAAATTGATAGTGATATTATATCGTTGTTATCTCTGGAATGCTATTAAAGTGTTTTAGAAAAGCAAGGATTTTATAACAGAAACCTGCATATTAAATACAGATACTTTCAAAGAAATTTTGTGGGAAAAAAAGAGGTTTGATATACATTTTTATGAAAACTTTTAATACTTTATTATTTTTTTTCTAATATTTAATGACACATTTTATTTACGTACTTAAACTTTCATTATACATGTATTTGTAAAGTATACATTGCTCCATAAATGATACTAGCGGAACATTTTCATATCTATTTTTGTTTCATTTGACAAAAGTATATATTTTTGCCGATTAGTAATATCTCTTATAAATTAAAAAAGGGACACCGTCAGAAAAAAATCTCGATGTAGCTATAATAAGACAATAAGAAATGGAAAACAACAACATGACTGTAAATTCATTTTCTTCTTCTTCTTCTTCGTCTTCTTTTTTTTTAAAGTATATTTCGCTAGTTACAGTTCGCTCTCATTATCATGTGAAAATAGATTCGGATATTGTAAACAATTAGTCTTAAGTAATTGTTTTTATTGAAAAAAAAAAGCAAAGTGACATAGAAAGTCTAACAACCTAAAGTGATTTATTTCTTCAATATTTTAATTAATTTTTATGAACATTCCCAGTTTAATTATATACATGTTTTTCACCAGTACGAAGTTTAATAAAGTGTACTGAATACTTTTCCTCCCCTTTATGTACGTTCCGGATATAACAAGCAGCTTTTGAAAACAAGTTCTTGTTCGATTGAACCATATCCGTTCATATCCCCCTTGCCATCATTGATTGGGGTATTTACCTTTGAAACCCCGGTGATCCGACCGAAAAAAAACGTCTTATTAAAACGGGTTTTTCTATTGAGTTTGCGTACGAACATTTCAAATATAGACGGTTCAATACTCCAAAAATATTACCCTTTGTGACTGATCTTGAAGCGTATAAGCTGTGATAAAACTAACTTAATGCTATTCAATCGACTCAGGTTCGATTTCAGACGCAGATTTTAATAAGTTAATGTAATGTGTCAATAAATGAAAAACTGTTTTCTTGTCGGTATACTCATTATATAGGATATATTTGTTGACATGTGATCGTTTTAAACCGATGAGAAATTTAAATTTATGTGAGTTTTACTAGTTTATATATTTTAATCATGATGTAAGTAAACCTTTTGTAGCTTTAAACCTTTGAGCTATATAATTATGTTATTTAAAATTAACATGTGATGTTAAGGTAAAGCCGTTTCTATTTCAGAAGGCCACATTGGAAATAAGATATATATGATTGTTATTGTATGTTCTTAATGTGTAACCTTCTTTAAATAAAGATATTATTATTATTATTATTATTATTATTATTATTATTTTTATGGTTTTTAATTTATGGTTGGCTTTAAGAAAGTGTATGCAATGTTGCAATCTGTAAAGCGTACCTCGTGCGCAAAGTCACTTCATATGCATACATTTTTCTTAATTTAGTGGCGAGAGTACTACACATCATTAGTAAAGTGTTGGATAACAAATTAATTTTTCGAGAAGTTGCATTTGTCAAACGTTGATTTTTCACTCTCTCGTCTTTAATGTGAACATGCACAGCAATGTCTGGCTTAAATAAACCGTTACTAGCCTGATATAGTATGCAAATGCTGGTGGATACAATTACAGATAAGGTAACATTTATAAAATACTTTATAATTTTAAGATTTTAATCTTATTTCCATTCCCTTTTTGCAGAAGAAGACTTTTAAGTCCGTTGTACAACGCCATTTCGTAAAGAAAGACAAGTTGTTTGTCTTGGTCCACGATTTACTAAAGTCCATAGACGACGAGAAACAAGCGCAAGAGGATCTCCTCACCTCCTTCCGAATAGCAAGAGAAATAACCGAACCTATACGACGGCAAAGTGTTGCTTCAACTCCCCATCGAGTGAGGCGTCGGAGAAGACGTGACGATACCCCACTTCTGGAAAGGATTCAGCAAACTCGACGACAATCTCTACAGCCTCTCGAAGATATCGCAATTTACGATAAAAACGTTGCGGCTGTAGGTGAACTTAAAGTGAAAGCTAATGAAAGTGATGAAAACGATCTTGTTAATAACAATAACAAAGGCGATAAAACAGGTGAAATACTGATAACAAATTCAATGAAGCCACCATCAGCAACAGAAAGGGACTTTACAGCAGGAAGTAATAAAAGGGTAAATGATAGTGCCATAAATGACTCAGTCAGCAGTGATACTGACAGTACGTCGTCAAAAACACGTCAGAGAGCTAAAAGTTCTCCTGCTGGTGAACGAGAGAAAATCTCTGCCAGTTATCAACTTAACAAGGAAGGAAATACACGAGAAGTTGATCGGTTGGTATTAGATTCTGTCCTTCATGAAAATGAAGTAGCCGAGGAAGAAAACACTGAATGTTCAGACAAAGAAAATACAAATACATCTGATAAAGTCAATAAACCTGAAGATGTTACTACAGTAAGAACAGATGAGTCCGAATGCTCAGAACTAACAGTGGAAGTTGAAACTGATTCAGACAGCAGCCAAGAAGAGGCAAATATCAAAGGTAAATATAAAAAAAGTTTGGATGAACGTATATCTGGCATGCAAAAGACATGAGCAATTTTGCTAAAAACTATGATTCTTAATTACGCTGTTTGAATTTGAGATATTTTAAAGCTAGATTAAGGCGGCTTAAACCAGCTGGTCCATTCGTTTAATATGTCTTTCTATAGTCAATAGTTTTATAATGGTAAAATACTTATCAGATTCGATGATAAATAATTTTGGTTAAGCACTGCATTCGTGAGATTTCGGTTGTCAATGAAATAAATATTCCCAATAGAATTTACGATGTATTTCTTAATAACATGCTTATTTCGCGCATATTAGTAAAGCTACAGTATAACCTCTTCATAGAGGCCCTGTGTGGAGCAATTACCTCTTTACTAACCATATTCTTTCTTCCTAATGTAAAGATTTCCACTATATTTACTTCAGCAACTTCTTGGCTGCAACCAAACAAACTGTTTTCAAAAGGATTTTGGAAATATAATTGTTACAAAATAAGAGCCAATGATAAAATTATTCTCTTTTTTAAAAATACTGTTAACTGTTTTATGTGGGTACATAAATGTGTTAAATAGTATGTTATTTTGTGTAACTTCTTCACTAAACTAATTGTGAGAGTTGAGTAAAATAATATTAGGCTCGCAAGAAGTTCGCATAGTATAATTATATTCAACTCGTTCAGCCGTGCACAATTCACTGTAAAAGGCACCGAATGATATACTTATGAAATCATGTAAACTCTCTGGATAGTTAGGCTAACATCTTTTGGAAAAAAAGTGAGATAATATGATTAAAGCTCAGTGTAGATCTATGTATTTTTCAGATAATGGATCAGATAATTGGCCAATGAGTAACATTTATCAACAATATCAGGACACCAAACATTAAAAACTTTTGAGAAATAAAAAAAGCCATTTCTGGAGCATAATTGGCCTTTAAATTAAGATATACAGTAATGATGAGAAGTCGAACCTTACAGGAGTGCACATGTTAACGTCGCTATCAAGTAAACGAAAAAGTCGATCGCTGTTATTGAAAACTTGAAACTAAATAGAAAATATGATTAGATATCTGATCAAAGTAAACATTGTATATTTTTCATATTGACCTGTTAAAACATCCCAGGAGTAAATACCTCGGATCAATTTCATAAGCATTATTAGATTGAAATGACTCTGGTAACATTGTGAAACTAAGTAAATAAACCGCCAATATATCAGTATTAATAACTTATCTAGTCGATCGCTTTAGCCAAATGCCATGTTCATCTTAAAATACTTATGTTGGTATTTTCTCTGTGACAAGTTATCTTTTTCGGATATTTTTGGAATAATGCGCTTAACTGAAAAAAAAATGTGTAAAATGTGCTTCCTGAATGGGGTTTGCAAAACAGTGTAACGTGTTAATTTGGATTAACGGACAATCGCAGTTCCTCCGCGTTCTCTTCTCATTTGAAAAGTACATGTATGTATGTGATAGAACTAGTCTATCGAAAAAGATATTTTTTCTTAAGAAAACTTAATGCCGAAAGCTAAGAAGATATACGTTTGTCTTCATTCAACAGGAATACATAGGAAGTTAACCTGATTTCATTTAGGTCACTATATATTTGGATAATTACATTTTTATGAATGTCGGCAGGAACTCAACTCACTGCGTGTATGTATGCATAACGATTATCGAAAATGCCTTAAAGTATTTTTTTGCGTATTGAAACAAGTTAATACCATCCGTTTAAAACAAAATATGTGGTACAAATTAGGGCGACGGTATCTTATGAAATGTGTGGTGTTTGTAACGCGCAAATATTATGGATGGCTTTCAATAACATGGTTATCATAAAAAGTACTGTTTTACAAATTTGTTTTCAGTTATTGGCGCAAATGATGAAAATGACAACGACTTTTCCGACGATGGATTTGATGATAATATAGATGAGTTTAAGAAACTAAATGATCCTAACTTTCATATATCTGTCATGGAATACAACAGAGCACCTGCAAGTCTTTATCCATCATTAGACCCTATCGCCGAAGCTTCTTCCGAATCATTCCAGTCAATGCCGACGTCTAGTCGAGATAGTTCCAGTGTTATCGAAATAGAATCAAAGAGGAGTTCTCTGCAATGGATTGATGTAGACCATGCAAATAATTCATCATATGAGAACAAAAGAAGTTACACAGGCCATTCGGTACATGATGTTCATGAAAAGAGTGAACCTGACCGATTTGATATGACTCGTCCGTATAAAACTAGAAATAACACGCGTCATGTTGTATCAGAAAAAGATGGGGAAATTGGTAAAGAAAATAACGGTAAAAACGTTGTGAATAGTGAAAGCAAGGATAAAACAAGAGAAGAAAACTCTTATATCAAGTACGCGGAGTACACATATGACGATCAGTCTGATACCGACGACAAAACTGAAAAAGCTAAAAACGATTCCGAATGCACAAATGCAAAACATAGACATAAACATAAATCAGGCAATGGGCATTACCAGTCAAATAGAAACAAGAAAAATGATCATTGCAAAGAATTTATTAACACAAATGGAATTGATTCGAAAGATATGAGCGACGAAAGGGACAAAAAGAAAAGGTCTAAATCCAAAGATAGTTCTAATAAGAAAAGCATATCAGTGGACATTCTTGGGATGTTTGAAGAAAATGCTGATCTCCAAAGAGTTTCGAGAAGTGAAATTATCACTCCGAAGCAATCTGTACGGACAGAAAAATCCAAGTCTAAACGTTCTCCTAAAAGATCGAGGTCAACTTCTCCAAGAAAGAAACGCGGTCACGAAAGACGTAAGTATGATCTGACACCACTTCCACCAGGGTATAAGTCATCTTCTGACAGTCGCAATAGATATACTAATTCGGCGCATAGATCGAAAACTGATTATCCCTCTAGAGCTAGCAGTACCAGCTCGTGTGATGACGTTAAAGAAGCTTATAAGACTTTGCAAACTATGAAAGACGAGCGTCGTTATAGAAAACCCGATGCAGTCTTGTGGGAACGGCTTGAAATCTCCGAAGCGGACGCTAATGATAGATTAGAGAAAGTGAAGTGGGCAGATAGGTGTGATAATAGAAAAAGATATGCTGGTGTCACTGAGGAAGATAGAAAGGACAATAGTGAAATGGATGGACGAAGAATAACGTGGAATATTCCTATATATGAACAAATAAAGAATATTAAAGGATCGAAGAACGTGCCTGATATTTCCAAATTGTCCAAGGTAGATATATCAAATAATACCACTTGCACAATATTTTAAATCATGCAAATTTCAGCAATTTTAAAGAAACAATTTTTTTTTTAACAAAACACAAAATGTTATGTTTTTTTTATTAAACTCTATCTTCCTGGGGAGCCTAGTGGCTTTGGTTTCTAAACCTAGGGCACATGGATTTCGAGCCCAACTGAGATGACGTCCATGTTTCCTCATAGAAACCAGTACCGGTTAGTTACAGGAGGCAAAGTCGAGAGTACTCCAAATAATCTTTAAGTTTTCATCATAAATGAGCTAAAATACATTTGAAATTAACTAAATTTAGTTAAACTAAGTAAAACTAATTTTAACCTAAGCAGCTAGAATGACGTCGTTAGCCTTTCATAGACCCCAGTCAAACTTAAGTTATAATAAATTCATGTTTACTTATGAAAATTGTCACGGTAAGATTTTCATTAAGGTTTGATGAATTTGAAAAGTAGAAATAACTGTCAAGAATTCTAGTTGGCTTTCCAGCTCCAAGTGTTAAAGACGACGACGTTATTGGCGACACAAATACGTATACATACCATTAACATGAGAAATTGAAATGATATTTAGGCTCATTATGCCTCAGAATTTCTTTCTTTAAAAATGTGAAACACCTGTTTTCAATAATGGATTTAGAGTATGTAAGATGTTAAACACCTAAAGAAGGTAGCACTGAATATGCAGAAATGTGCCGCAAAGCTAGCAAAATGTTTGACTTCCATACAAAAGACTAGTTCAAGATCATTATACCAATTGCCAACAGAACATAAGAATTAATAGAGTTCATCTAGCAAAGAAACTTTCTAAAAAATGTTTTTGAGAAATAAAGATGAAAAGATGATAGCTTTTTAGGCATACCTTTGATACATGTACCATGAAGTTCTAAATATCTAAACAATTCAGCCATTTTGATATAAAGATATTCAAGAACCGAATAAAATTTTAAGATAACAAAATAAATAAATAATTAATACAGTACTAGTAAATAATCAAATTAATTAAACTTTGAGTTTTGTTTTAAGCTCGCGTATCATTTCACTTCTTCACCATGTTACGCCGTTTCATGAAATACAATAATGTTTATATTTTTCCATTCACAGACGATACCGCGAGAAGAACGTGTTGGACGTCTATATATAGATCTGAAGCAAGAACGACGTGCATCCGGGTTCTCAGACTGTAGACCACTAAGTGCTCCAAGACAAACGAGAAAATTTGATGAATTTACGCATCTGTGATGACAGTTTTATGTTCGTGATTCGTAATTGATCAGATCTACAATTAACTTCAAGAATAGTTCGCATGATTACCACATTTATGACAAAGAAATGTGTTGTTATTTCTTTATATAATATTTCATTATACATAACATTACAAGATACATTAAAGTTCAATTAAAACGCATAACATTTAGTTATGAATAACATTTAGTTTATGCATTATACCATGATACATTTCATTTGGTTATACATTAAATTGAATGAATACATTTATGCATTTCATTTTATTTATGAGTGTCATAAGTACTCGCAGATGCATGTAAGTTTACTATATAAAGGTATTATTGAAGAGTGGTGTCTGCGCCAAAACCTACTTAATACTTATCTTCGCCGAAGAAAATGGAGTCTATGCCGACAGACTTGAAATTATAATATAGCAATAATCGTTCTACTCAAACGGTGAATTGTGTCAACAAAGGTAATGCAGCGTATATGTGCGTGATTTACATGTTTTACTTAAAATAAAAACAAACAAACAAAACAAAACCAAACAACAAAATACAACAGCCACAAATTGTTTAATATCATTTTGTATTTGTGTAACCATGAATTAATCCTTTTGAGCGTTATGCTGACGTATTTGAATAAGTAAACAGTGCCACCTGTGTACAAACACAAAAACATGGTCATTATCCGAATAGATTGATGAAGAACTTGCATTATTTACGATTGATTTTACAATGATGGTAGTAGAGACGTCAACGCGCCGAATTTCTTCATGTATTGTTAGATATACGAGATACTGAATACAACTCCAGTAACAGCTCACCCTTAAAACGACCGTTTTATTGTACAGTATGATATATTATAAGATCGCCATTTTAAAACAGTTCTTATATTAGACTTTGATATTAAGTTTAACAATACCTCTTCAAAAATTTAGCTGTATATTTACAATCTTAATGTAAAGGCACACTGCTGTGGAAGTAATCTAATTTGTGTCTCAACCCGTCAGTAAATACGGGTGTTCATTTAATGCCAGCAGAAGAATCGAATAAGGTTATACAGGTGTATCATAGATCAAATGCAAAAGATGATGATTAAAATTATGCCAAAAAAAAAAACATGCAACTTTCATAGAAAACAACCCCAACTTAGTTCAAGCAGACAAACTTTCAATAACACCGACATCATAGAATGAAAACAGGCTTTCTTTTACCACGACTTCAATGAAAACACTTTTTTATTGCCAATTCAACGCAATTTTGTTTTTATTTGATAATTCTTATTGTTTTTGTGAACAGTAAAGCATAACCAAACATACATAGCGTTATAAAAATAGTAGTGAATATTTATTCATTTTTTTTAAACTCTTGAAACATTTTTCCTAAAGTTGGATAAAAAAGCCCAAAAACAATGTGTCCGCTTCTATGGAAGCGGAAGTTTTGAAAATATCCAGAAGTATGAAAACATTCCATACATGCATTCAACTTTGAACGACTGTCTTTTAAGAAACAGACAAATCATATATACATTCATGTATATCCTCATTACATGAACCCAAAGTACTGAGTAAAGGATTCATTATTGTTCAAATGTTTTACTTTAAGCATTATTTCAATTTCTCCGAAGATGTATGAGATTTCATACCCTCTGTCTTGTGTAGTTTTTCCTTTCGGAAGTTTAACATGCATCATTCCGATCTTTGAACACGTGGGATCAGTTACAACAACCGGATTGCGGCTTGTTGACAGAAATAATTCTATACAGGCAGTCCTTTCATCGTCAGATGAAGGGTATCTAACTTCAGTTATTCTGTGGCCAGTTTCCACTTCAGTTCCCTGTCTGACGAGCACTTTGAAAATGTCTGTGCACATAGGTACACCATTTATAATTTTCTTCAACTTGCCCGGATGTTGCGATGCATCAAATTCGCCAGACGCTCGCATGCCGTAAGTGAACTTAGCCTTTCTACTCGCAATTATACCAGGATTTTGTCCAAACAACACGGCTCCTTTGAGAACAGCTAATCCGGGCTCTGGTGGGAAAATAACCTTTTTCATTCTGAATTCATTCTTTATGGCATCTTGAACAATCGCACACTCTGAAAATCCTCCGACGACTAAGATCGTGCCGATATCCCCTACATCTGGATCACACAGAAGCTCGCGCATGTGTTCACAAATATGACTTACTGGATTTTGAAACATTCCTATGGCAATAGCGGGATCTATTCGCATTCTATTGTCTTTAATAGTTATCATATCTCCAAAGTTTTTGGACATCAGCGTTTTGACGAACTCTTTCCGTAGCTGAGAGCCTCTAATTAGTTCTTGGTTCTCCTCAAGTTTGATCATTTGGAGTGACAATGGTAATCTTATTTTAATTGGTTTGTTGCAATCAGGTTGTATCGCTCTCTTTGTAGTTTCGAACTCTTTTAGAAGATCAAAAACGTCATTCAAACACTCCTCTTGGAAACGTTTCAATGTTTCTGCACCAAGTACATCTCGAAGTGTATTTATGAACGCCTTGTCTACTTGTGTTCCACCCCAATTACCTCCATTTGCTTTATGAAGTTCCCTGAGTTTACCATTGGCCATCTTTTGGTGTAAAGTAATATCAACTGTTCCGCCTGAAACAATATCCAATTATTTATTTCTTACTAAACCTTTATCTTTAGGCTACTGATACCTACAATTGTTTCTAACACTATTTTAATTGTTAAACAAAGAAATCATTTAATTAAATTACTTTATAACAAAAAATGATCGAGTCAGCAAATGGGTATGCTTTAAACGAAGTTCACTATCTGCATTAAATTGTTTATTTTGGAGCATTAACTTTTTTTCTAAATACAGTACTTAACTTGTTATCAGATAAAATAAACACCGCCTAGGCATTTTAAACGTTTATAAAAGTAGGTGTTTTTTTAGACAATGAACAATAAATTACCTCCAATATCAACAACCATATATTTTGAACCAACAGTTGTAAGATCATACTCATTTCCGTCTGAGGAAACCAGATAACGTACATTCTGGCACCAAACCGAGGCTGCTTCCGACTCCAAAGCGAGGCTAAATCGATCGTTTGGTATACCCGCCTGAAATATATTATCATAATTTAATAGCTAAGCATCATAAAGAAGCTAGTTAAGAACCTTTCAGTAATAAATATTTGCATATACATATGTTATAAATTAAAATAATAAAATCCAACCTTTGTTACACACGTTCACAATGAGTAATTTTCGTTTATTATACTTTCTAACATCATATATTCATTACTAAGGGAGGAAACTCCCGAAATCAAAAATCAAACTTACGTCTGCAGCGGCTTCCCGCATAAAAAGCCTAGCTCTGTCGTCCCAGATAGCGGGAACGGTCAGCACAAAATGGATGTCAGTTTCTTCTATGACCATTTTCCCGCTTCTTCTCTCGTTGAGCGTGGCCATCACGTGCTCTTTCAGGTAACGTATAGACATTGAGAACGCTGTTATAGCTGGAATCTTTACATTTCCTGACAAGTCTGTGATTTCCAATCCCTTTGATAAATCCTACACAAAAAAACGGTTACAAATGTCTTTATTTATTTCTTTTACAAATCCCTAATTTGTGCAGTAGATATGACGTATCTATTTGGACATTTCTATGAAAATAGATTAAAACAATTAAAATGTACCTATACAAATATTTAGAAACTGTTAAATTTTTACGAGCCTTCATTTCTAAAAATATGAAAAATACCAGGAGTTCCTAAATATAAACCAAAACAGTGGGGTACATACCCCCATGCTTCCAACAACGCTCTTGTATGAAATTAATGTACCAATTAAAAATACGAAATTTTACCCTGTTTTTGTATATTAAACATAAATTAAGAACCTACCGGGTTGTTGTAAAGCTTCATCTTAAATCGGCGGAAGAGAGCCCATCCTTCAGATTCGCCATCTTCCAACAGTTCCGTATACTTTTCTTCAGCCTCATATCCAAATGCACTGAACTTCCGGTCAGGGTCAACAAGCAGTACAGTCGGCGTTTTCAGAGAAACAAGGCTTTTGGACCAGTTTTGGTTAGTTTTAATGTCAGTAGGTTTTGATTTGAAGGAGAATGCATACCCACTGAATGTGGTACCAAAATCTATCGCAACCACGACAAATGTGGTGTTACCGGACATTACGTCATATATGTGATATCACTGTAGCCCCTAATTGCTGAAAATAGAATAAAATTACTTGTTACTTCAAAAACGTTAATTTAAGGACTCAGAAAAATAACAGCTGTCTTTATTCTACTTGACGTCTGATTTCAGCGTTTCATGACGTCACCAAAAGTCCAAATGCATGCGAACGTTAATCATTATCTTAAAACGTCACAATAATTGTGCTGATAGTGAATATCATATATTATGTTAATGTTGTTGAAATGGTTTAAAAACTTACAGCTACCATGAATACATTTTGACCTTTAATTTCATAGACGTTTAAAGTAGAAGTATAAAATAAATCATTCTTCTTGAGTTTAAACTTACTTAATCCACAATGTATCCTTACATTTAAACATCCATTAAAATATGACCATAGTTTTGTTATATGCAACACTCACTTGAAATAACCTACTTCTTGACATTTATAGCTATCATATGCAATTATTTATAAATCCACTAAAAAAATAAATGAAAAAAATAACCGTCTCACGAGACTAAAATCGTGTTTAAACAAAACTTTACATTGTAAATAAGCACTTCAGTATCAATTTCGAAATAGCCCGTATTTGGATACGGTAAGCAAATCTTACAAATCTTTTTCATCTCATTAAAGCAAGCCAAAATAACATTAAAACTATTTAACTATTTTCTCAAATCATTTCCTTCATTTTTTTTTCATTCAAATGAAACGAAATGTTTCAATTAGTAACATTTATAGGTGAGTTTGATTACAATCGAATGCAAATTTTTATTTTAAAAAGTATATCCATAGGTAAGTGTTTATATTTCAATAGACATTTTGTGTGAATCCCGAAGTGTGCGGCTAGTTTTAACAGGTGAAATGGACAAACACTCGTCTGCAATACCAGACCACAGTGTAGAAACATAGCATTTACTGCAAGCCTACATATGTTAATTTGTATGGGTTATTATGACAACATAGCTTTTAAAAAAGTAAAGCTATGAAACGGTCGCTTTTATCAAAGTTAACACCACACAATGTCAAGGTATAGACCACAGGTGTGTTTATGGTTTGATACACTTGTGACAACGACAATATTTTGGCCAGGAGTGTTCTATTTTGTATATCACATGACCATGCTGTAATAGTTTAAAGTTAATAAGTGTAGATACTAAGATATTATCTTGGATTCATTGCTATTTGATACATATGTAGGTTGAAAATTACAATAAACACTGATGACCTATATTCTAGCGTGTTTTACGGAAAATAAATAACGACAAAAAATGTAATAATAGTAAATCGCATACTAAATGCGTCGTTGAAATTTGACCAGAGTAATTTAATGGTTTTATCAATGTCATCTAAGACTTTAAAATGAAAAACAACAATAAACAAAACCGTTCCACTTCTTTAGTGATAAATTTTCATTGATCCACAAGTCGTCTGCTATTTTTGTTATCATTTATTAACTTAATATCGATCCCGTTTGAAATATATTTCGTTATGTGTGACGGATCAATACATAAATTCTATGCAAATTTTTAGGATAAAGTAGGTCATTCATGAATAAGTACAATATTGTACGTATTAGATATCCTTTGTAAATTCCCCGAAAATTCGGTGCCAGCCTAGTCTAGCCTTAATGCTAATGTAACACTTTATTGCATTCTGTAGACCAAATAAATACATGTACTATATACATGTATTAAGTCTTTAACGTATTAAATTTTGAAAATCATTTACTTGAGACTTTTATAAAGGGGTAATCTTATTATAACTTACAATAAAATATTGTCGCTAAACGATCGAATTACAAACTTATGTTATGAAAATATCTGAGACTTATTCAAGCGAAATATATGACATTTTAAAACGACCTTAGCACAGCTACATCTTATGTTGTTATAATCAACATTTAGGTTTCATGGTTAATTCACGCAATTAATTTAAATTGACATTCCAAATATACATTTGCATTTATGCTTAATAATTAACTCAGCATTAATATTGAACAATAGTTTAACAAACAAATGCCTTACCTTTAGGTCCTGCTAATGTCTTGCTTTTTAGATTTTTTTCCAATGTCTTAAAAATCGGTTTAATAAACGTTACTTTAAACTTGTTTATTCAGTAAGTTCTATGCTATGGATCAGTATGTTTATATATTTGATCAAAATCCTATATTGAGGTTTTACGGTCGTTACACTCCTATATAAAGTGTGTAAACATGGGTATTCACCTGTCCGTATCATAAACATGATATATTTGTAATCAATCTATTTAAAATCTTGACTCAGTCTTAGCTTTTACAATAATTTCAGAGCGGAAATATTTTTTCCGATCAGTAAAAAATTCCTATTTAGTTTTCAATACAATATGGGGAAGTAAATTGAACTTCATAATAAAATGACACATGTACTGTGTACCCTATGTGCATGGCTGTCAATGGGCAGGTTCAGTTAATCTGTTCGATCTTTGGAATATTCAGTGGAAATATTTTCTTCAATAAGAAATAATTTCCTACAATACAAGATTTCCTATAATACAAGGAAGTAGATCCTGGCCAATTCTTCTAGTAAATTGTAACCAAACAAGAGCTGTATATGCTTATAAAAATAATGAATTTTGTTGGTTTTAAATCTTTAAGACCCATTAAGTCTTAAAATGATACTCTTTTTCATCTTTCGTTTTTTTGTCTGGTGTCCCGTTACAGTTTCCAACAAGCAAAGTTGAATTTATATCCCCCGCCGAGTACTGGTACAACTGGAGACATATTAAGGCTTGATTTACATATTTATCATAACATAAACAGTAATATTCTTTGTACATGGTAAAAATTCAGGGCAATAACGGGGGTAAAGAGTACTATCTGGACATGCAAATGAGATGCAAATTGCCTTTTTGTATAAATGGTTCCAATAAAGTTTGGTTGCAATCAGTACAGAAATAGCAATATTGCTATAATATAAAATATGCATACTGCATAACTAATATAAGGCCATAACTATGTGTTGAACCGTAATGACGGTTCCCATAAAGTTTTGTTGAATTCCTGCCAGTAATTGCAGAGAAATAGCACGGAAACGATTACTGCTCTATATATGCATAATGCATAACTTATTAAGGGGAATAACTCTGTGATGAAGGCTGGAACAAGGCAACAATATGCGCATCTCTTCTTGGTATTGATGGTTCCCATAAAGAAAGCCAGTAGTTGCAGAGAAGTGACAGGCCAGTAGAGCGCCGATAAATGGCACTTGGTTTACAAGGTAGAACATTAGACTGTGAATCGGGCGACCCGATGTTCGATTCCTGAACGGTATAGTGACTGATCAAGAACTCCTTTCCAGGGCAATTCACACTGTACCTTTGTTCTAGCATGTACAGAGGGCATCAGTTCCTAGTGAAAGCGAAGGCTACTGGTACTGCTTGACAGCCAGCCGCCAAGGAACGATGCGGTGGCTGAACTTGTGTTCTGGTGAATTAAAAGTGTGTTCCAGCCGTGATCTAGAGTGTAAATAACAAACAGACATCGATGCAGTATAGTGGAGTATCGGACATGCTATCCCTGGCTTATTAGTCCAGAACAATACCACTGCCGCTAACTGGTTTACAAACTCTCTCCAGTTCGACAAACTGATTCGGTATATGAGGCCATATTATCAACATGATGTCAACTGTATATTCAGAACAGGATGGCTTATCATGTCCTGTCAATTCCAGAAATATAAAAGGAACACACATATTAACAGTAATATTTTAATTTAAAAGTGCATCTTTTGAATGCTTTCAACATTACAATAACAACAATTGTACGAAATAATTAATAATCATGCATACCAAAAAAATATTAAAAGAATCCATTCAAAGTAAACATGATAAACGTGACAAGAGTGACCTGCCCTTTGGATAACAATTTTTATCTTAAAATTTATAATTATTAGATACTTAAATCGTATCTCACTTTTACATACTTTTACATGTATTTTTAAACTGAAAGAAATGTATGTGTAAGATAAAAAGAAAACTTGTTTGTTTTATGGAAGTATTAAACACATCTCATACATGTATTTAAGTGAGATTGTTTTTTTAAATTGCCACTTGAACTTCATATTCAGAAAAAATACTTCAAAATTCTCACTAAGGAGTGATATATTTTCCATATTTTATCAAGACAGATCTCTAGCTATAACAGAAAGTGAATTTCAAAATAAGAATAAATATATTAATAAATTTATAGAAAAGACGGACAGTAACCTTAATGTTTTTAAGAAAAAAAATAATCTAACAATCAAGTACATAGTAAAGTATTATCAAATAACTCTACTTTTTCATATTTGATATTTTAATTTAATATTTAATCCATCAAAAATATTTTTACTGTTCTGTAAAACTTACAAAATTGAAAGATCTGGCTTATAAAAATGTTTATCCCAAGAGCAGATCACTTCTTTTAAAGAAACTCTCTTGGCACAAGTTTTAATAATACAAGGTGCAGATTTCTCCCCTATCAACAAAACAACAAAAGAAACATTCATTAGTTAGGGAGTGACTGACCTTTGTCAAAGGTCTATAATTCAAATGAAAATATACCACAATTTCTTTCCACTAACACTTATTCAAAGAATTGCTGATGTTTGCAAAAAATGGTGCTTTGAATCTTTTTTAAAAATTACTTTCTTGTGAATTGTATGATAAGCTGTAAATATTGTTACCACAAATAATACAGGGGCAAAGTGCCTAGGAAAATTGATGTCAATCATTCAATATGACAAACTTTGCACATTAGACACAACAGATATGTGCCTTGCACAACTGACATAACTTTAAAGTGTTTGGTTTGTAAACCTATAGAGATTTAAAGGAACTCATGATACCAATTTTTTTGTCATATAGAGACTGGCAATAATTTTTAAAAAACCCTTTTCTCATTTCTGTGTCAATTTGGACCAATAATGTGTGCAAAAATTCAGCTGATTCCCTCACTCAGTTTTTCTACAATATTTATTTCAATGTGATTAAATGACCCAAAAATGAAGTGTTTAAACTGTTTAAACGCAAACATAGTTCGGTATGATTGTTAGAAATCCAAATTTATATTTTCAGGCTTTTATACTACAGTGGAGATCCTTTAAGGATAGAAAATATCTACTTTTTAGTGGTAGATGTGTTTTTGTGGCCTGACATACTATCTTTATAAAAGTTTGTTTCTTTATCAATTAATACTTAAAATCCCGTCTCCCCTTCAATTGATAATGAAGTCTGAAATTCAAATCGCACCATATCCTTCGCACAAAATATGGGACTAAAATAGTATATTTCTGTTTCTTACATAATAATTTTTTACAGAATAATATGTAATCATTTCACACATAATAATATGTAATACTTTCGTACATAACAATATGTACATGTAATCATTTATAAAGTATTTGTACATATTGAATCTGATGCATAAAAATCCCATAAAGAAAATGGCAATTCAAGAATTATATCTTTAATAAAATTGCCCCAAATTTAGAGCTAGGCCAGCCTGACCTGACTCTGCATATATATTAGTCAGCTTATCTGTTTTAATAAATCGATACCCAACTCCCCTAAACTAGTAATCAAGTCCATTTTATTTTCAAAATCAGCCCGGAAAAGGTTAAGAAAGAGAGATTCTATTATAATTTTATAAAGAGTGAAACCTAGTATCTTCATAATAGAAATGAAATAAACCTCTATATTACATGTATTATGAACCATAAAAAACAGCTTAAGTCCCAAAAACATTCTTATTTAAAACAATTTATCCTAGAAACACAAAATTATTACATTTGTACTAGCTTTACACATTTTGAAAGATTTTGTCCATTCAAAACTTTTTTGTTTCCCTTAAATCACAATACAAAAAAGTTATTGTCGGCTCAAAACATTTTATGTCTTTTCAAAACATATTATGTCTATTTAATCATTTTTATGTCTGTAACACTCATATTAAACATTAAACTATAAGGAGCCAGCTAACTTGCTGTCCTATATCTATGTCTGATTAATGAATTTTTTCGAATTCAAACAACTTTAGTATGGTGGCAAATACTGTAAAATCATTATTATTTGTGGGGCACAAATTTTTGTGGTTTTCGTGGGAAGGCCAATCCATGAATTAACGATCCGACAAAATTTTATCCCAACAAATACTTCTTGCCATGTCTCTATTCTATATATAACAAACATGCATTGGCCCTTTTCGCCGATTTTTGTGTAATGAATGCCCAGAGGCAAGGATTAAATTTATTGACAAGCGCTGTGTGATACGTAAAGATATGTACATGCAGTAAGTAAAAATGCGCAGCGATTAAGTGTAAGATTACTTTGCATTAGGTTATCTATTTTATTTTTTTTAAAAGAAATTGAAAATCAACGAATTTAGGAACCCTAGAAAATGCACTTTTTGATAAAACCACGAAATTTCATGCCCACGAATATAGGTGAATTTGCAGTAAGTGCCATTTACAAATTTCACCAAAACATACGAGAAAAACCCACAAAAATCTGTACACGACTTAAACCATCTGCCATAACTTGCAAACTATACTGTCTGACTTATATCAAATAAAACCATATACGCATGTGTCTGACTAAAAATTTCATTTACATTCATCAATACTTTTAGAAAGAAAAAAAAAAACAAATGAGCCGCATCATGACAAAACCAACATAATGGGTTTGCAACCAGCATTGATACAGACCAGCCTGTGCATTCGCGCAGTCTGATCAGGATCCATGCTGTTCGCTTAGCAACCCTATTACAAGTAGAGAAACTGAAAGCGAACAGCATGGATCCTGATCAGACTGCGCAGGCTGGTCTGGATCCATGCTGGTCGCAAACGCACTATGTTGGTTTTGTCATGACGTGGCTCAAATTTTCCAGCAGTTCTTCTTAACAGAACTGGTAACAAAGAAAAGATAATATGCCCAACATATCTATTTTCCAAACAAACAAAGATCATATTTACTTGCTAAGATTTCAACAATGGTCAATACAAAGCAAATGTTTCTAAAAATTAATAATCAAAGAATATGTAAACAATTAAAAAAACAAACAAAAACATCACAAATGTTAAATGTATTACATATAAATAATACAGAATAAAGTATGTAAGAATTGATGTAAGTTTGAAATAAAACATTATAGTGATATATATTGTATGTGTAAAGGATGTGAAAAGCTCCTTTATAACCAAAGTCTGAGCAAGATACAAAAATCATAAATGCAAAACTAGTTGGCCTACGAGGACAAAGTGCCAAGTTCCCCCATAGTATTTTTTTTTTGGTTGATTTTTTACATCTCACCAACACAGTATAGGTCATATGGGTCTTTCAAGCTTCACTGGTAGAGGGAGATCTCAGGTGCCCCTCCAGACATTATTACAGGCAGGAACAAGCACCCGAGTAGAACCAAGATATTCCATCAGGTAGCTGGATAGCTTCCTCACATGAAAGAATCCAAAGTCCTTGTTGGAATTTGAACACACCCAGTAGTGAGGGGCAAGTGGTTTGAAGTCAATGACTTAACCACTTGGCCACGGATGCCCTACCCCATAGAAAATATAAAGGTTTAAAGAGGTGTAACAATAACAGTAATCCCCATGCCAATCCTTATTTTACTCTTGTTTACTCTGTACTCTATAGCTCTTATATACATGTAGGCACATGACAACCCTTTATGTAGCCCGTTACATGCATATTTCATCTCTTATGTAGTCCTAATTCAAAGTGTTACCCCTCACATAGTTTGAAACAGGCAAACTATGGCCATGATATAGCTTGTACTATAGGCATGCTTCTTCCTTTATTTTGCCCTTAGATGGTACATGTATTGTACAGATTAAAAAAAATTTTATGTAGCCCAAACCCCATGCATTCTACAGCTTTTAAAGTAGCCCCAAAAAAGCGTTTTACAGCTGTCACAAATAAAGGAGCCTAAAAAAGCATTTAAAGCCCTTAAAGTGTCAAGTTGTATTTCTGCCCCAAAATTTTGATTGATTACCGTATTCAAAAATATAAAATACATCAATCTGGGAATACAGCTTTTTATAATTATTACATGTCTTTTACTTCTTTATCAATCAATAAGTAAATAAAGGAACCAATTAATAAAGCAAGAAAACAGAGTAACCAGTCTCTAATATTATGTAAAACCAGTCTTTTTTATCAATATAAAAGACCAGTTTTCTTATTTCTATAAAAAAAATCAAAATATGTCACGTTCTCTGATTAAGGTAACAAATGCCTCAAAATTATAAGAAAAAACTTCTCTCCAATGAAAAAACAACTCTTGATTTTATTCTTTCTATATCAAAACAAAGTTTCTCTTTGTTTTAGGCATTCAGACTCAAAATGTGAAAAATGGTTGATTTTACAGAGTAAGAACCAGTCTTGAAGTTAAAGGGAAACAACTCTGCATGAAAAATGGGAGTACCAGTCTCATAACTACATATAACAAATGAGCTTTTCTATGAGGCTGACTTTTAAATCTTCATCATTTGAGAGGCTTGTAAAACAAATACACTAATGGGTGACCATTGCAACTTTCATAGTATATAAAATTCTAAATTTCTTTATCAAAGCTTGATGAAAACTATGTCATTTTGTAAAGAAATACCACTTTAGAATAACAAATTTTATTCAAATCATTTTAGGGTCTACAGAGTAAAATGTGCCAGCAACCCTTGTAAACTACACAGAAAAAAGTGCCCAAAACTCTGAAAACATTAACAATTGCTAATCATGTATTAAAAATACTACAAAAATGATAGCTGTCTTGTCATAATAAAAACAATTGTGTAGTCTATATTATACATGATAAATACATGTATATATATTCATGTACATTCACACATTATTCAAGTATTGCACCTTCAACAAGTGATGCCTTAACTATGTAATACAAAATGGAGGCAATGTACATGTACTCTCAACAATATCGGTATTTTGACAACCTTTTCTTGTTCTTACATTTTTCCCCTTCGATTGACCCATCTGAGTTGTCATATACTAAAAGACAATGTTGTAATCAATATGGTATCCAAAGTTGAACACTTTCAACTGAATTACACAATTTTTTATAGTGGATATTTTTAAGAACTGAAAATATATTTTGAATTTATAAAAACTAACTTAAAAACAGACTTGTTATAAAAAAAAGTCAAGCGGCTATATTGAAGTAAATTAAAGCATTAAGAATGTGTTGTATACTAATTCTAGCTTCAATTATAAGGGTATAAAGCAACATTTATAAAATATTATCTACTTCACAGCAAAATTACTAGTTCACCCACAACAAAAGAACCCCAGGACTCTTGGCTTTGAGGCTGTCAAAACCCTGTTGATTAATAATTTCTAAACACTTATTCATATTATGATAACAATATTATAATTATGCAAATAATAAAAATATATTACACATCTAAATACTTTTCCTCCAACAAAGAACTCAAAATGCCAGCATTTTCTTATATCTCACAATCTAAATCAGACTCTGTCTGAGTCAATCTGTAATTGAAAACCAGTCTTTGGCAGATAGATTTTCATTGGTCAATTTCAAATTTAAAATTTCAAACTAATCAATGAAATCCTTATATTTCTTGACTGGTTTACAAGCTCAAATATTTTCAACACCAAGCATGTAATTATATTTTGCCATTCAATTATAGTTCATCTTTTCATATTTCATTGTTTACTACATGAATAATTTCCAAACCCTCAAAACAAAGGGTTTTTATTTATTTATTTACTTTTTTGAAAACTGCAAGTGACTTTCGATCACTACCGGTAGTTGCTTTGACTTTGGTTTTAGATGTCAACAGCAGCTTGTCAACAGACCTGAATTATTAAAGAGGAAAAACTAAGAACATGTTTCAGGGAACATGTGTTTAGCAAGTGATCTTTACACATCGGAATTATTTAACTTGACATGCTAACATGTTAGAATTCAAGTACATGTATATGTAAATTCAGGTGTGATCTTGAACTTAATTATAATATCAAATATGAATTCAAATACAAGCATAAAATAAACTCTAGTTATCTTGATATACAGAATAGTACATGCATCATGCAGTTACATAATAATCACCTTAAAACAAAGGCGTAAAATATGTAGTATCCAAATGTTCCCGTTCATACATGATACATTTCCACAACATAGCCATTATATATATACATGTATATTCTCACATTCAAACAGAGGCACATCTTCAGATAGCTATTTAGTCTCAACATATCAACTCTCTAATTTTTGTAATTAATACTAATCACACTTAATTTTTTTTACAAAAATGTTTCCCTTAAAATTGCTAATAATAACTGTAATAACGTATTTATGCCTTCATTGTCTAGATAGGACATTGCCACTTTGTTCACTTAAGGCATCAGCAGGCAGTTTATTGGAACTACCAACCCTCAAAAGAACTGGCGACTGCCTACTTTAGAGTTTTTATAACTACATGTACATGTATATGAATTACAAATTACAGGCAAAATCCCATTTATCACTGCCAATATCAGTTAATTTTGGAATCTCGGCTAATATTGGTAAGTCCAGTTACCGACTTATCTAAATAAAGAATTGATGTGTCTCTTAAGAGAAACAATTGATTAAAACAATTTTGCCTACAATAGCCACTAATTTGACAAAAATAACCAACATTTACTGTAAAAATCAGTGAGAACAACTACATGGAAACACCACATGCCTATCTGCAGGTGTGCCTCTATTCTTTCACAAAACTACATGGACAATAACAGTTATACTGTTTTAAAGTTTTCCACATTTTCACAAGAGTTCACTAGGTGGGATTTATACACAAAATTAAACACTAAATATCACAATTTCACAGTCAATATACAATTTTTGACACAATAATAATTTATACAAAATGTCACCAAAGTTGTGTTGTCCGCTACTTAGAAACAACTTAACAAGCTGTGGAAAAAATATTTCAGCACACTTTTTTTTACATGTATTTTTTGTTTTAACCTTGAAATATGCCATTGATGTGGTAGATGTGACAACATCCGTATCTATTTTATTAACTTTCATATTTGAAAGCTTTCAAAGGGAAAAAATGATTGTCCAAAAGAAAAATCAATTTACATTTCTTCAACATTAAAGATATCTAAGGTTAGTTATAATATAGAAGTAATCCTGGACAAATCAACTATCAAAATTCCCTTTTTTGAGACTTATACAGTTTCATGTTTGAACTGCATTTGTCAAAATTTGGCTTTAAACCTGAAAAAGAATGCTATCTTTAGATTTAAAAACATTTTCAGTTTGATAAAATATAAAAATAACTTGAACTGAGACTTTGCAAAGAAATCTGATTAATATGATACCACAGTCAGAAGTGCTGAACAGAAAAACTTGAACTTTACTGTACAAAAAGTACATGTAAGTTAAATGGCCTGTTGAGGATAGGGGGAATTTAACATCTTCTAAAATATTTGGTAGCGGTTATAGATCTCTTTTTTGCTTTTTGTACTTTAATTAAATACAGCATATGGATGAAATAAATTGCCATGGTGATTCAAATTCATAATTATATCAATTACTTTCAAGAAGAGTGTTTCTAAGAACTCATAATTCAAAGATTGTCACTCAAAATTCAGGGTATCATCACTCATATTTCAAGGTATTGACAATTATAATTCTTTGCATTAGCAAATTTAAATATATTGACCCTCATACATGTATGTAATTCAGGTTATTGATTATCATAAATTACATAAATTGAGAAAATTTCTCACATATTTGTATGCGGATAAAATTGCCAGAATTTGAGGGTAGAGTAAATGAACATGTAAAGTGAATAAATAAGACAGTGATGTTATGAAGGAATAAAAAAAAACCTAAAAACTTTGTTACAAGTCTTTCAATCCTTTAAGTAACCTTGGAAATACAGTTTGACACACCGGAGCATCTAATTCTGACTGAGACAAAAGGGAACTATGCCATAAATAACTTCACACTCGAGGTAGAGAGAGCTCCCATGTGTTACCATATCTAAGTTTTCATTTGTCGCACAAGGTTTTACTTCCATTTAAAAAATACTTTTCTGTAGATTTTCTATGCACTAAAGAGCTTTTTGTGAAGATTATTATATATATTCTGTTTTCACTTATTCATTCCATGGCATTTTTTAAATTTTCATTGGTTATAACTGATCATGTGACTTTATCTGTTGGATCTTGATTGGTTGTGCAGATACCAAGCATGGTTGTCTCCCTTAGAGAAAGACAGGTGTCCACGAACAATCTTCTGCAGGATAAGTCTGTAGCACAGATTAAAATATACATTTAAGTTATTTCTGATTGGTCAATTCAAATCACATAACTCTGACCAGAATGTCTGATTGGCCAGTCAAAGTCACATGACATCACAGAAGAACACAACATAAACTACAACTGGCCTCTCCACTTTTGTCTTTCTTTAATTGGCCTGGAAAAAAACACAACAAAATAACTATTTGTTTATTCTTCAAAAATGGTAAGTATGATTTAACAAACAGCTATGAAACAAAACTTTTCAATATTAAACACAAAATTTTCCAAGTATCATCGCACTGAGTGAAACATATTATAACATAATAATCATAAAAAATCGAGATTTTTTTTCCAAAACACAAGTTTTTCAAAGGTGAATGACTTTCCAACTATAAAGTATTACTTTTATGGTTTATGCTACAGAGTGATGTACATGTAAATGTAATCTATATGTGTCTATATGGCTATATTCAATGTTAAGGGCTTCTGCTACAATATTATTAAGTAAATATTTATATGGCTTTTTATAAGCATGCAATACGAGTTTGACTTCGTAACCTACCCTGATTGTTTGGCTCTGGTAAATTTTCTCTTGCAACTAAATGCATGACTGTGGTTTTACCCATCGGTAATTGTAAAGCTGCAATATTAAGTTATACAAACTTATACTGTTATAATAATTATAATATAATAAACAATACTTTTTAAAATCTGAACACTTACTCTACTGAAACCAGAAAATGATAAGCCTTCCCAACTGACAGTTAGGTGTGATTCAACTAGAACTGTGTCCAAAGGACACGAATGCCCCCACCGACAACATATACATTGTATATGGTATATAGTGAAAAAATCAACAAAGGGCCATAATTCTGTTAAATTTGGTCGCAGCTAAAACTCCTTCCTTTACTACCATCTACACATTAAGGTTGTTTATCCCTGGTAGTTTAAGCAAAATCTGCCATCCGGTTTAAGAGGAGTTGCGTTCACAAAATTTCTCTATGGTATATAGTGAAAAAATCAACAAAGGGCCATAATTCTGTTAAATTTGGTCGCAGCGAAACTCCTTCCTTTACTACTACTAAATACTACCATCTACACATTAAGGTTGTTCATCCCTGGAAATTTAAGCAAAACCTGCCATCCGGTTTAAGAGGAGTTGTGTTCACAAAATTTCTCTATGGTATATAGAGAAAAAATCAACAAAGGACCATAATTCTGTTAAATTTAGTCGCAGCAAAAATTCCTTCCTTTACTACTATCTACACATTAAGGTTGTTCATCACTGGAAGTTTAAGCAAAATCTGCCATCCGGTTTAAGAGGAGTTGCTTTCACCAAATTTCTACATAGTATATAGTGAAAAAATCAACAAAGGGCCATAATTCTGTTAAATTATGTTGCAGCAAATATTCCTTCCTTAACTCCCATCTACACATTAAGGTTGTTCATCACTGGAAATTTAAGCAAAATCTGCCATCCGGTTTAAGAGGAGTTGCGTTCACAAAATTTCTACATAGTATATAGTGAAAAAATCAACAAAGGGCCATAATTCTGTTAAATTTGTTCGCAGCGTACCTTCCTTTACTCCCATCTACACTTTAAGGTTGTTCATCCCTGGAAGTTTAAGCAAAATCTGCCATCCAGTTTAAGAGGAGTTGCGTTCACAAAATTTCTACATACTAGTAGTATATAGTGAAAAAATCAACAAAGGGCCATAATTCTGTTAAATTTAGTCGCAGCAAATATTCCTTCCTTTAGTGCCATCTACACATTAAGGTTGATCATCCCTGGAAGTTTAAGCAAAATCTGCCACCCAGTTTAAGATGAGTTGCGTTCACAAGATTTCGGGACATACGGAAGGACAGACAAATGGACAAGTGCAACGCTTTATGCCCCCCACTTTGTGGGGGCATAAAAAGTGGAGCTTATATATAAAAATATTTACTTAATTTTACTTATTTTTCAGGTACAATTTCATACTATCTACTACAATGTACTTAAACAGCAAACAGGATTTCACTTATTTCCTAATATTCTTGTATAATTTTCTATTTTTGGAGTACTTGAAAAAGTCTCATAAACTATCCCTCTAGTTTTGAAAAATTATGACACACTTGAATACAGATAAACATGATAAAGTAATTTAAGTGTATGGAAAATACTTACCTCCTAATGTAACATTTCCGTGTAAAAATCGACCTTGATAGATTAACCTTAAGATATTTGTCTCAGGTAACTTTTCATCTGACCATTCTGCAATGGAATTTTTATAGGAATATGAAAATACATACGCATCAAATTACGATTATCTCAAGTTTTGCCTGAAGTTCAGCTTGGATTACAGGCCTTCTTTCATGTTTTAAAACATTCCTAAAAAGGTCTGTTTTACTTTATAGTTACAGGTATTATAGTGAATTATACCTTGATAATCAATATCTGTTAAATAAACACACCAACATTCTGCAAAGTTTCTTTGAAATCATTTCCTATTATTTGTTTTTCATTCCATATTAACATTTACTGATTTATACACTAAATGATTCATTATTAGAATAAATATTAGAATATACATAATGTATATTCTCAAAGCATGAACCTACAATAATCTATACAGTCTATAAACAAAAATCCAGAATTCTCAGTAAAAATGGAACCAAGATGTGGGTAGGACTGTGAAAATATAACAAGGAACATACATGTAAAGAAGAATCAAATGTCTATATTATGAACAACATTGATAAGGAAGAGCTATGCTCTAGTGGTAAGGGTATTTTACGCCACAACCAGGAAAAGTTGGTTCAAGTATTTCTGCCATCACAAGTTCACAACTATATATTTATTTCCTTATATGATACCACAAGACTTTTAAAATGAAGAATACTGCTGAGTATTTTATGCAAAAAGCTTCTTTCTGAACTTTCATGTTGGTTTTTTTTTTACAGTATGTTTATTTCCAATTTTTTGTTATTCACACTAATTTTGAGCCAATAAAACACAACAATGAATTGGCAATATTTTTTTCATTTTGGCTACAGAATCTGGCGATTATGTTTTGCACCAAACAATCAATGTATATATAAAGGGAAAAAATCGAAAAAAGCATACATGTGTTAGACCTAATTTACACCAGCGGAGGTGTCAATTTATTATCAGTCGCACACTGATTAATATTGTCTGATCATCAATGTGATGAAAAATACATGTGAGAAGTACATTTGTATAAGTACTTTAAAGATATTAACCAACATTATTAAAGCCATGTAACATTTACCAATTAGTAATACCAGTCATTCCCTTGAAGTTGATAAACTTGATACAACCCAATATTGTGACTTAAGTTGCAAATTTTGAAATTTTTGTTTTATGCCGTTTCATTAAAACGCCAATAAAAAACAATGTTAAAATATTTAAAAAGTATATATTTCTGGACAATTAAATGTACAACAACCAAAATTGTGAATGTTTCTGCACAAAACAACAGTCAATATATTTTCATGATTAAAGCCATGGTTTTATGTAAGAAAAAAGTAGACTAGAGTTGTCAATTTATCAGATTACAGTATTAAAACTGAAAAAGTGTGTTATTAGATGAAATGTATATTTTAGTATTTTATCAACTGCTTATGTTGTTAATCACAAAATTATGAACACTCCTCTGAACTTTTGGCAATTATTTACAAAAAAATAACATTTTTTTTAAAGCCAGTGTCAGCCCTGATTAAGTTTAGATAATTTAATTTACACTAAAAGCAATCCTTCAAAACATTCTTTATAATATAGTATTGCATTTTCATTATTCAATTCAGTTTTGTTACCTGCTGGCCAGTTGCTATATACATATTCTGTTATATCTGCAGCTGAACTTGAATGAGAGAACAGGAATTCTTTGGTTCTTCCACTAACCAATATCAAACGCAAATTCACCTGAAAACAAAAAATATCCTTATAAAATTTATCATTAATGCACCATAAAGTTTACAAGTCACTTCATCAATAGGTCACTTTTTAATGTGCAAAGGTAACAAATAAAACAAGATCACACAATAGGTGGAGTAATATTATATACATCTGAATGCAAAATTGTCTTAAATTATCAGAAATATTATTTAAAGAAGAGAAGAAACCTAGACATACACTTAAAAACATATTAAAGGGCATAATTATTTTATGTAAGTTTTCTTAAAGTGACATTATGCCTATAAAAGTGTAAATGAAGGGTGTACAGGTCAAATTAAAAATAACTAGATTTTACCATAATTGATTTTAGTTCAATAGTCTAGGTCATGTGTATAAATTATAATAAATAACCCATGTGACTCAGTTGTTAAATTCTATCCTAAACATTTTTCATTACCAATTATTGGTCCATGACCATTATAACTGTCTTGAAATCTTTTTAAATACATACAACATAGCCAATTAAGTTCAACTGGACAACAAAAAAATAAGCATAATGTCACTTTGAGATCTAAATTGAATATTAATTGATGCACGCGAAATCACATGTCTTTGTCCCTGCAAGGGGTTTGAGCCTCTGGATCAAGGCAGAAGACCGTTCAGAATTCACAAAAGCACAGTTCAGCCACCGCATTCATTTTCAATATTAATGGCAGACTGTCAAGCAGTTCACAAGGAATCCGGGTCAGCTCGGTCCTAAAACGAACTCGGCCCTATTCCAACTCGGCACGGGTCAACTCGGCCCACTTTTCAATAATCAATATTTAGGTTTGTGTTAACACTATTTATTGTAATTATTGTAATTATTTATAATAAACTGATTGACAGTTTCGAACTAGCAGCAGACAAGCTTTTCTTATTGGTAGAATTGCGAGTAAAGATAAACTATTGCTTATCTCACTGTATTTCTACATATTTAACTTATGTTCTGTTCTTTATAACTTTAACTAGATAATGCACAGACAAGGTCTTTCTATTTGACAGAAGAAAAAAAAACGTATGACACATGCAATTGAATTTCGGGAGCAATCAATGCGCTTATACGGAAGATTTAATTGGAAGCTTATGATATTAAGTAAACAATTTTTGTTTCATATTTTTTTAAATATTACTTTACAAACACATTTTATTAGAATCTAGATCTATATTAATTTTATCGAATCTGCAAGACAGATAAATAACATTTTTTTTCTAAATACACTTTATTTCAGAAGAAGTACAAATTGATGTATAATTATATAATAATAAGATATTTCTTATTATTCATTTACCTTAACAACATGCAAAGCAAAGTTAATACGTTATATATATTTTTTGTAAAGTGGGCCAAGTTGACCCGTGCAGAGTTGACCCGTGCCGAGTTGGTAAAGGGCAGAGTTGACTCTTTTCCATTTACAAGTGTTCATTTTACAAGTGTTGCTTTCTTTACTTTCTCAAGGAACTGATAATTTTGTACATAAGCAGAGTAGTCAAAATATATCAATGTGCCAAAGCTAGATTCTGAGATATTTTCGAGCTTGTTCAGAATCTCTCTTTTATGTTTGTAAAGGCTAGATCTTGCCCAGTCATGAAAATAGCACATTATCTCATGGTGCAGCATACAATTAGTTGGACAAATGAGCGGAGGTACAGCGCAAATTACGACTGTAGAACAGATTACACACTGTCCAGGTTTCCAACCCAGGTGTCCGATTTCACTGTCTAAAACTCTACCTTTAGAGTGATCAAATGATTCAAACTAAACAAATCAGTTTGAACTTTACATATAAATGTATATATAGCCCTACTACTGGTTTAGACCCTTGGGGTCTATTCTATAACAAGTTTGAAATAACAAGTATTGTGAAAATCACGTGATTTTATCAAAATTTACTTCTTATATATAAAAAGAAGAAACCTTATCTGCAGGTATTCCTCGTGATCCCATTATGTATCACTTTGTAAGAATATAGGACGAATATATAGAAGTCTTTGGTGCAAGCGACCGGGAAAAAATTCAACTGTCACAAAACGAATTCAATTCTTTTAAAATCAAGCTGTATTTGGCCAAGTTTTCGAGAACCTAAAAGTAGGAAAATATATATATTCCATTTTAGACTATATCGATTGTTATTCATTTGCGGAATTTGGGAGACAGTAATAATTTTCGATACATCTTTACTGTCGTTCCTGTTTATTGTCAACCATAATTGCTATGAATTGTGGGAATTTCAGTTATCCGTGCGCATGCGTAAATTTGATCAATGTTATCGAAGTGGTTATAAGACCCAATATTCAAGCATCTAGATGATGAAAATAATGATTAAAATATAGTTGCCAAAATAAAGACAAATTTGGTAATAAAAGGCAATTAAATCAACTAAGAAAGGTGTAAGTAAGGTGAGCTACCTTGTTAAATAATTGTTTTTTCCGACAATAAAATGACTGCAGACGCTAAAATTAACGAAATCAATCAAAATTAGGTTTTAACTTCCAATAAAAATGGGAAATTTAGAATATTTTGCTCTGAAATGCCACACTGCTGTCAATACTTTTAAACTGTACTGTTTAAATTATTTGTTAACGCAGGTAACTTTTAATACATTAATATTTTAATGCAAAACCCAAATTATGGAAACATAATTAGCAAAATTTGTCACTTCAAGGAAAATAATATGAAAAAAGGCAAAGCCTCATTGCGAGCTCGATTTACTAGCATAAAATAATTGTTCATTTTTATTTACGTTTTCCGTTTTAAACTGTCATTCGGTATTTTATACACTGTTTCCGTTTATTCTGGTTCCCTTTCCTATTATGATTCCCATGGAAATGCGCAGGAAACCAGTCTACCGTTTTCAATAAGAATTCCTTGGCTTTTGGCGCTATCTTGTAATTCAAAAAGTTGCTATGTGCCAATTTCCCACTTCGGACAAAAGTTTTCAAACCCATCACTATCTAACAGGTACTCGCATTACCATAAAGCTCATTTTGCTAGCAGGCCCTTTGGGCCAGCTCTCTGGCTATCATTGCCAGGTCATAATAGCATTGATATATCATAAGCATGCCATTATTTCTAGACTGATTACCGGGACATCAGAAGATCATTACAAAATGTAATGTTAAATGTATGCATCACAGGTGTTCGGCGCTTGGCCATGACTTACACTATACCCCTATTCCCCTCTTCAACCCAAAACCCTTCAACATCATCCAAACATCATAGTATTGACGAAAATCAATTAGATGAAAAAAAAAAAATTATGACCAAAAAATTTAAAGGTATTTTACTCTACTTTCATTTTGTATAGAAAAATCGCTAGCATCTCAATTTTCAGCACATATTTTCATCAATGTCTCACAGATCTTAACAATCTTGGGTGTCAAATCTTAGATGAATAAATACTTTTTAAGAAAACAACACAGTGAACACTGACACCTTCGCTGATTTAAGTAGCTAGTAATATTCAAGCCCAAACTGTCAATAAATGAAACTTGACAGAGATCTGATTGCACTGTTTTGGTACAACTCTCACGAGTAAAACACACTAAATTCATAATGAATGAATAATTTTTTGTATTTCACATTTAAATATGATAAAATTAAATTATTATTTGTAATAACTGTTCAATCAAATCATCATATATGAAACTTTAACGCACCTTTTTTCCCACATGTCAAATTTTTAAACCAAAATACTGCAGTAGACTGTAGATTATTCCCCTTTTATATTTTCATATGGAGTATTTTTATGCTTCCCCAAAACTTTTGGGGAGCATATAGTCGGCGCCTTGTCCGTCTGTCCGTCCGTTGTCTTGTCCGGAGCATAACTTGAAAACCCTTGGAGATAATTTGTTTAAACTTCATACAGTGGTAGAGGGCATTGAGTGGGAGTGCAGTGTCAAAGAACCATAACTCTATTTTGCCCGGTTTTTGAATTATCTCTCCTGATAGAAAAATCTTGTTTTGGACATAACTCTAAAACTATAAGAGATATCAACATGAAACTTTGTAGGTGAATAGATCTCAAAGGGTAGATGTGCAGTGCATATGAACAATAACTCCTTTTGTCCTAATTTTGGAGTTATTGCCCTTTGTTAATTTTAACACTTTGAACTTTGACCGGAACATAAAGCTAAAACTATAAGAGATATCAAGATGAAACATTGTAGATAGATAGATCTCATTGAGTAGAATGCAGTGCAAAAGAACCATAACTCTGTTAAGCCTCATTTTTGAATTATCTCCCCTTATAGAAAAATCTTGTCCGGGACATTACTCTAAAACTATAAGAGATATCAACATGAAACTTTGTAGGTGAATAGATCTCGATGGGTAGATGTGCAGTGCATAAGAACAATAACTCCTTTTGTTCTAAGTTTGGAGTTATTGCCCTTTGTTAATTTTAACACTTTGAACTTTGTCAGGAACATATATCTAAAACTATAAGAGATATCAAAATGAAACATTGTAGGTAGAAAGATCTCATTAAGTAGAAGTGCAGTGCAAAGAACCATAACTCTGTTAAACCTCATTTTTTAATTATTTCCCCTTTTAGAAAAATCTTGTCCAGGAGATAGCTGTAAAACTATAAGAGATATCAACATGAAACTTTGTAGGTAGATATATCTCAATGGGTAGATGTGCGTGCACGAGAATCATAACTCTGCATTGCCTGATTCTGGAGTTATTGCCCTTTGTTTATTTTTACTTTTTGAAGTTGTCCTGGACATAACTCAGAAACCATAAGAGATATCAACAAGAAACTTTGTAGGTTGATATATCACATTGATTACAAGTGCAGTGCTAAGAACAGTAACTCTTCCTTGCCTAATTTTGGAATTATTGCACTTTGAACTTTTTCCACCGACATAACACTGAAACTACAAGAGGTGTACTTTCCTGTGTCCAAAACCTATTCGGGGAGCATCACCCGGCCCGGGTCAAACCGGGCTCTTGTTATTGGTCATGTGAAAACCCCAGACCAATGAAAATTAGGCCTTTTTCCTGTTCACCAGTATTACTGGAAATGTTGCCATATGGCCTAAACTGTGTTGATGCGACATACATGTATAACCAGTAAAAAAGAACCCTCTTGTCTTTAAATAAATAACTTATATCAAACCTTCATTCCCTGTGTTTTGTGACAGACAGTTTACCACAGTTTAAGTTTACCACAGTTTATTGACCTAATAATTTCTTATTTTTTGGCAGCTTTGTTTTAAGATTGGCTGCCAGTGAATCTGGCTTACTCAACATATTTAGTGCTGAATCATTGCCAAAAAAAATAAAAAAATGTTTTCATTTTACAGTATTTAAACTTTAAGAACACAGTTCAGTGAGACATACATTGTAATCATATGATTATGAAAACTCCTCTATTTTAAGATATGTGATTGGTTTAAAAAGTGAGATGAGATGTCTTCCACTTTGGTAATTACACAGACAGCTGAAACTGATCAAAACTATGCCGGGTAAGTGTTTGCTATGTAAAACCTATTATAATTAATAATTTACATATGATATGATATAGCATTTAGGCTCGAAACAATATTCGCTGGTGGCAATTTGATTGAACACAATGCAATGTTAATTTATGTTATTTATCTGTAGAAAATTATATGTTAATTAATAATTGATTTTCCTTGCAATAAGATTGGTGTTTTAGTTATGGGACTAAATTCAGAAACTTTAATCTCTAATTGCCTGCCTGTACATGTATATCACTAAAATTCTTACCAAAATTGGAATTACTCACAATGCAAAAATTATTGATCTAGTTTTCTATTGATCATTTAATATTGTTTGCTTGACTATTGCTGTAAGCTGTTTTTAGAAGAGCATTTCTAACAGATTTACCACTTCTGCCATTTAAAACATCAATGTAAAAAAGTTCATTGTTTAGCTTACTTTGACCTAATTTTAATCATTGAAAAATATATCGAACATATACTGAAAAAAGGTATGAAATATATTATTAAACTTAAAGCATTACTGCTTAATTTATAATGATATTATTGAATGTTACTTACAGGGCACAGGAAGAGGTGGAGGAAGAGGTTCCACCGAGGGAGGCAGAACTGTTTGAGTTCGACAACTGTTCAAAAGGACTAGGTAATTGGATATCAACAATAATTCTGTTGTTGTTTTCATATCTGCCTATATAAACTATTTCCTTTGTCTATACTTTAGATGTGATTAAAAATGTAGATATCAAAGAAAAAAAACAACAATTTATGATTGTAAGCGATTGTTTAGAAAAGCAAAGCATGACAATGCCTGCTGAACCCTAGTTCAGTAGCTGTTAAACCACCGGTATAGAGTGGAGGGAACTGTGCTGTCAAACTAGATTTTATATTATTTACTGATTTACTTCAATTTAAATTACATGTGCCATTTTAATAGCAATGTCTGTTGATAGTTCTCATTGTCCGATTCCCACAGCCGAACCATTATCATTTATCAGATTACATGTTATGTTACATGTTAATTAACTGTGGGTAATTGACGATGGTAGTTCTAGGCAGAAAAAAATGTCACTGACAGTATGTTCTACTATCAAGACAGCTACATGTATCATCTTTCTCTCAGAAGGTCATTCCTTATGAAAGGATACACAAATGTTTGTCTTTAAAATGTGTCATTAATGGTCAAGGTCATATTTTTATTACAGGTATAAAGATCTGTGGTGGGTGTAGTTTGGATGGGGAAGAGTTAAATGGTGTGTTCATCAAAAGAGTTTTACCCGGTGGTCTTGCTGAGGCACAAGGTACTTTGCAATGTCATTTAAATCTCCTCTTTTTGTTGATTTTTCTGTGCATAATTTTTGTGTTTAAGATATGCAAAATGTTACTTAGAACTGTACTTGCAAAGTAGCAGGATATTATACGCAGAAAAATTGGCATGTCACAGCCTGGACTTGAACAACAGGTATCTGGATTGTATATGTATATACATGACATTTGTGGAAATTTTTACATATTCATAATGCCTTTTAATATCACTTGATCCCAAGAAGGATACAAGAATGTAAAAAAAAAAATTCTCATCCTTTTTAGGTGGTTTGAAGAGGGGTGATCAAATACTGGAAGTTAATGGAGATAGCCTAGAGGGTGTCACCAATGATAGGTAAATTTTATCAAAAAATCTTTTTCGTTTCTTTAGTTATATTCTCCAGATTCATGCTAATTTTCATGAAAATTTTGAAAATACTGTCACGTGAACAAAGAAAGTAATTTACACATTGCATCCATGAAGAGTACCAAATAAAGGTCAAAACTTGCAAAAATAGCCCTTCCTGCGTTAGTCACACAGTAGAAATATGGTGATTGATACTGCAAAATCAGTCATTCATTGCATGTAACATGTAATTCATTACTTGAATTGTGAATATTTTTTCTTTTCTTAAAATCTTACATTTTTTCAAGGTTGATTTTTAATTCTTTTTTAGCTTATCTGGAAGCATGCAGCTTTGAAAGGACTAAGTCTTTACCGTTTTTGTATCTTGCAAAGTTTTTCCTCTTAAATAAAGAGTTATATTATAGGTCCCCTCTATTTATAACTTGAGACTTAAATTAAAACTTATCTCTTTTATGTTAAAGATTTTGATCTAAATACTAGTATAAGGGAATAAGTACTGTAGATTTGAAACTGGACACTCATAGTTCATGGTTCTACATGTACTGGACATAAGTAATTCCAGTTTTCTTATTGTCAAATTCAGGAATTATGCAATCAGATTGAATGAAGATTGAATTATGAGTACAAGCTTATAAATGTAATTCTGAAATTTCTTAAAACAGTCTGTTTTATTAACTTTTAATATTTTTTAAGTGTTTAACAATTAGCCATGCTAAATTTGTGTGATGGACTTATCCTAACATAAATTTGAACCTTTTCATTGGTAATGTGAGAAATTTTTTATATTAAATTGAATTGGTCTATAATGGCAGGTTTGTAATACAACATATAATTACTTCGATAGTATTTATTATCAGACATAACAACAAACCACAAAAGAAATATGTATGGATGTTCTTTGCAAGTGTGAGATTCATGATTCGATGTTACATATATTTATATAGCAGATAATGGAGATAATAAAATGTTCTAGAACAAAATATTATTATTCAACATATAAATCTTCATAGTTACTAAGTCACAACTTTATCAACATTTTTTCAAGCACTATATTTTATAAGAATATCCAAATGATACATTTCTTATGTTTTTATCAATATTTGTAATACTACAGGCCTGGCTCTATACTGGTAGCATAATCAAGTCAGTATTATGGCTATCACTCCAAGGATATTAAGTCAAACTGTTTTTTTTTCATTTTTATTTGAATTATTTTTAGGGCAGTGTCAATATTGAGGCAAGCTTGTGCATCGAATCATGTAGAAATTGTGGTATCAAGGGATGAGCAAGCAATGTAAGATTTTCATCATATTTTAACAACAATATCTTAAACTTTTCCAAAGAATAAAGACCTTAAAAAAGTTGTCATTGTGCAATATTCATTCATGTTTTAACATCTAACATTAAGACATGTTAAATCTTCTATTCTGTATTCAGTCTTTTTGTTTAAAAATCATGTTGGGTCTACCAGGAAGCAGTTTTTTTTAAATAAATAAAAACAGTGTAATTTTTCATGATACATTGTGTACTTGTTACCAAATTTATGAAGTACAGGGAACATAAACTCAGAATTATGTAACATATTAATATCACATAACAATATCTTCTTTGATTGCCTCTAATTTGTGCTTTCCATTTCTTTTATTTTGCCAGATTATTAAATGCTTGTTTTACAAAAATGTACATGTTTTCTATTCACTAAAACAGTAAAGAGTTCAAAGAGATTCTAGAAAAGACAGCAAACTGTAGTGTTCCTGGCACACCTGTACCATCAGGTAGGGTACTTTTGTGTCATTATTCATATTTTTATATGGTTATTGTAACTGTAGTAACTTTGAATGCAAATGTGATGAATCAAAATTTTAAATCAAATTAAAAAAACCTTCTCTGGCAAGTAATTGCTGCTCATAATTCTTATTTAAGGTGCTTAAGGTTTTTGACTCTGAATGGGGTGTAGTTGACTTCAAATCACTTGCCTCCTCAGCACTATTGGTTAGAACCTCAATTGGGACTTTGGACTCTTTCATGTGAGAAAGCTATACAGCCAGCTTACAGAACCTCAGTGGTTCTAAAAGTGCCGGAGATAATGCACATAGGGGCATCTGTGGTCTTCCTCCACCAATAAAGCTATACTGTGTTGATGCGATGTAAAACCCATCAAAAACATAAATGAGTTGTTTGCCTCTCACTACTGTTTGTTCAAATCCCACTCCACTTGCAATAATTTTGGCTTCCATAAAACCACAACAACATCAGTTTGACTTAAAACCAATTGAATAAATTATAAACTCCTGTAGAAATCAAGTGCTTAAAACACTACCTTTTATGTAGGCTATGGCAGTTTTAATATAATTTTAGTAAACTAGAAGATGATTTAAGAAGTTGTATTGTGATTTAGGATTGTTTTTCTCCCTGTAGAATCTATAAGAACTTAATATCAGACTGCAAATTTGATAACATTTGTCATTTGATTTTTATAGACATTTTAATTTTATAGACATTTTTCTTAGATCTGTTCTTCTTTATCTAAAATTGTTGTAAATGGTTTCCAGTTTATATTGAAAAGTTGGTATGATTGTTCTCTTGTTTAATTTTTATACAGAGCAAAGTAGAAAGACATCTGTGGTAAGATCAGAGAATGGGGCCTCAAATAGACCAGAGCCTGAGACAGTTACTCCAAACACCCAGGTACATCTCACTTTCTTGTGAAAAATTGAATTGTTTAGCCTAAAGACTAGTGCACAATATTTGTAAATGAGATAACATAAATTGTTGCAAATAACCAGTCTGTTCTCCTTTTCATCAGGAAGGGCAAACACCACCAGTGGCACAAGACAGTCCAAATACACCTGTCAATAGTAGTGTGATGCCTAAACTAGCATTTAGAGGTCTCATACCTAGCATGGCTTCAACTCCCCATCAGAAAGGTAAAGTCTTTATTAAGCTGTCTGTTACTATAATTCTTCAGTGAATAATATATTTCTGTTTGATAAGAAAATTATGAAACATATACTTCATTTTAAGTTTTAGTCTTAAACAGATGTGCATAACCATTTGATATATTTTGCCAAAGCTACTTTTCATGTTCCTATTCAAGTGGTCACAATACGTCTTCTTGAGACTTGTAACATTATTATGAAATCATATTATTTAAAGGCTTGCTGTGAAGAATGCTGTCACATATAAAAGAAGACATTGTCAAATTAAAAATTGATGTAACATCACCAAAAGACGGAGTATATAGTGCTTGTGAATTATTTTAAATATTTAAGTTTTAAATAAGATACACTCCTATTATCTACCAAGAAAATATACCCATTTTCTCTTTATACCTTTTCCTGTTTAAATATGAGAATATTGAATTATAGGATCCACTGCAACTGTAGGATCAGGAAGTTCTGGTTCTCGCTTTTCAAGCTTCCCTAATGTAGAGCCATCACCAGTTGGGGTACCTGTGTCACTGTCCGATACCTTCATGTCCAGTGGCTCTGTGTTTGAACCCAATACCAATGAACCACCACATCAACGACAGTCCCATGCTACTTCATTGACAAGGAAACTGTCTATAGATCCGTATGTAAGATTGAAAGTGGAGAAGTTAAATGCTGTAAGTATTTCATTTTCCTTTCCATGTACAGTATTAATGATTTGTCATTTTGGACATTAACCATTAACTGGCTTGAACCAAAAGAGATTAGCTTTTACCACCTGTATTGACCTAGGCCAGATTATCAGTCTGACTAGACTCTATACTATTTGCTAACTGTCTTTAATCTTTATCTTTAAATCCTAAAATTAATAATGTATAGTTAAAAAAATGGAAACTGGACAAGTTTATTTAAGAAATTTAGCCGTTTAAGGGTTAAAGAGCCATATTATTGTGCATGTCTTGTAGAGTCTTACTGTTTCTACTCACCCTGTCAACCGATTTGTTACTGAAACCTTTAGGGTTTATGGGTTCAAGCCCATCAATATTGTCTCATATGACACCAGTACTGTTTCGTATAAGGAAGAGAAATTGAAAGTGATTAATATAAGTTGCATGAACTTGTTTCACAATTGAGCTTAAATAAACATGTTTAAACTTACAACTAGAATTGACAACGAACGGTTTTTATATTTAAACCCAGTGATGTGTGTAACACACATTAATTTAGCAAGGCACATGTTAAAAAATGAACTACTTTTTGTTATAACTAAATTCATGTACTTGTTTAAATATTTGATATAATTTGATGGCTGGTTTCTAGATCAGAATTTCAGAAAGGTGTTGAATTAAAATTATATTTATGCTTTTCTGTCTGTTACAGCACAACACATTTAAAATCTGGTAAATAAAATTTTGTTTACAGGTGATAGAATCTTAATTAAAAAATTATTTACTGAATTTGTGATTGTAAAATTTTGTACTAGCCAGTTTCCTGCAACTTTGTATATTTGTTTCAGGCATTGAGATATCTTGGTTTAGACCCCACCCCTGAGAAGGAGTTTCAAATGAGGTCACAACTAAATATAGATTCAAGGGAAACAGTGCATTATGGGGGTGAGTTATTGATTCACTTATGTTTATATCAAGGGGAGTTTATGCCCTTTTGATATGTTTTAATTCCTATTAGTAAACTCCCTGTATACAAGTTTTAAGGGAAGAGAGCATCTGGAGATATTGGTAATGGAAGATGGCTGGTTGTATATCCATGCATGGTTGAAAGTTTCCATGATTATTTCTAAGTTCAGGATTTTTTCAGATTTCTGGAAGCTCTCTTTGTATATAAAAAAGACTTTAACAAAGCTAGTTTAGTTTAGGCTGATCCTTTAAAAAAAAATTGAACTTGTATCAGTTTTACCTAGCATAGCTTTATGGCCAAGTGTTTATTGGTTTTTATAAAAACTCTTTCCTTACCAGAGTGTGTGGCAAAGCCTTTATTGTTTATGAAGCTTTCCAGTTAGTATATGGAATGTTAGTGGTTCTACACTCATGCTTGCTTGTGCATGAAATAATGTATCATTTGTTTGGGACATCACTTTGAAAATGAAGACTTGACAGAAAATGTTGTAATTTCTTGTTTCAGAGTTTGTAGAGGTTGTGAGAGAAGTGTTCAAGTCGGAGTTAGCCGGTAAGAATATTGGTACAAGTACGATGATGTTTGCTGCCAGTGATATCACAGATCTGGTGGAACCGCCGGCATTTAGATCAGAGGTAATTCTCAAGTGTTCTTGTTAGAGCTGTCATTGATTTAAGGAGAGGCAGCATATCAACAATATATCGATATCGGATGACAAATATCAATGATACACTGATATATCGCTAATTACCTAAAATTGCTTGTCTGTCATTCACTTTTATACCTGTTTAAATGATTTCAGTTAAAAACATGTTCTGTTCAGTGTCTTGTATATAAAAGGCCATTGCATGATTTTTATCCAGACCATTTTTTTGTCATCATTGCTGTGAAATATTTCCACTATGTAACAACAGATGATGTCGATACATTGATATTATTCCTATCAATGACAGATCTAGTTCTTACATATCAGGCTAGATATTAGAGAATTGCATACATGCTAGAAAAATGTAAACATACTTGCCTTTTGTGTAAGAATAGACATAAGTTTTGAATGAATTCATTTCCTTGCTGTTAAGATGAATTCTTTTGGTGTGAATGATGTAATTTAGTAGTTATGAATCAGTTGTAAATTTATATTCTTCTTTGTTAGAATAGTGCTTTTAAAAAATGTAAGTTTAGTTTTTCATGATTACTTTTCAAATTGAAATTGATATGTTATGTGCAAGAAAAAGAATCTAGGGCAAGTTGCCAGTACAAATGGGAATATTTGGGGATTTGAAGAGGTAAGAGTTACTGTTATGCAGTACTTGGACAGATCCTTGTTAAGGCATTAACAGTTAAACTCAAGACAGATATTTCTTTCTGTACCGGAAGTCAGTTTGCAATTCTTGTTATCTGATTAGTCTGAATCTGCTTAGGTAATGCTAGTGACTTTACTTATATTGACACTAGTCTTTTAGAGGAGGGAATCCTTTCAAAATAACTACGCCTTCAGATTCATGCAAATTTTTATGAAAATTTTAAAAATGTCCATATTAGAGTTTATTAAGCATTTAAGTAAAGTATTTTAAGCCAAGTTAGGCACTGATATTCACATAAAAAATTTCAAACCTTTATGCCGGGCATAGGGCAAAAATTAAATCCTTTTCTTGTAATAAAAACATTTGATAATAGGATGGTGGAAAAGTAAATTCAGTCAATTTTTAATTAAAACAGGGCATTTTACATTTTGGGGAAAACATCGGTTTTTAAAATTTCAGGTGCCCTTTTGGGGTTTGAAAAAAATGCAGGGAAAAGGGCACTTAAAAATCTTTTTTCCCCAGTAAAGCTAGGGGGTCACCTTTAAAAGACCTATACTGTCTTGGTGCACTGAAAAAAAACCAAAAAAAACAACATTTTGAATGTCTTACAGTAAGGATATGACAAACTTCAAAGTTTCATACCCACTTAAAATAATAATGAAAGAAAATCATAATAAAAGAAATCATGATTTCAATAAACATAATGTAATTGTTTCTAACTGTCTGGTCAAATACAGATTAAAACATAAATGTATTCATTTATATATAAAATGTGTTACAGATGAATGGTGGGGCAAGTGGTGTAAGTCAACCCGAGTTAGAATTGGAGAATGAGGAACTGAGGCAGGAAAATATGAGATTACAGGTAATGTATAAACTCTGTATAAAAATAGCTTTAATACTTATAGAATCACAGGTATTTAGGCCATTACAAATTTAATTTATTAAAGGAAAACCTTTAAAGCCTATGTTGCAAGCTTTTTAATGTGTATGACCAGGTACGGTAGTTTCATTATCAAAACATAACTGTCAAATGACATAGCACTAGACATGAAAAGCTTGACAGAACTGGTTTCTTTATATGAAAAAACACATAACTAAATGCAGAATTAGCAAGTCTTATACTTTTTACAATACTTTTAGGCAATAATAATGCTAATTCACATATTTTCATGCATTAATATCTGCTCTCATACTTATTAAATTCCTCACCCTGCCAGCTGGGCCTTTAAATCCCTCTTTATGCATTTACAGATGTTAATTTATGAATACAGTTAAAGGCACAAAAAGAATTTACTATTGTTTTGAATTCATGTTTGAAAATGTATTTTGCAGGTGCTATTGAGAGAAAAAGAGGATGAAGTTTTGAGAATAAGAAAGGTAAAATGCTTCAATTATTGTGTAAATCCTAGGGTTATTTACAGATTGACTGACTGTTAACATAAATAGGTAGATAACACTGTAGACTGCTCATTGCTTAGCACTTGATGGTTCCAGGAACTGATTCAAGAGTGTTTAATAAGTTTATAGCTTCCAGCACAATCAAACTAAAATAAATTTGTGTCAACTGAATGCATACATCTGGATTGATTTGCTATATTTCACACTTTATTCAGCATTCTTATTTCACACTTTATTCCGCATTCTTATTTCACACTTTATTCCGCATTCTTATTTCACACTTTATTCCGCACACTTATTTCACACTTAATTTCGCATTCTTATTTCACACATTATTCGGCATTCCTATTTGGCCTTTTGAGAAGTAAAATTGATTTTAGCTTTGTTACTGTTAAACAGGAGGCTCAGGGTGCTATACAGGAACAAAGGGAGTTACGTAGTAAAGTGCATTTAGCAGCTAAGGCCCAGCAGGTGGCTAGAGATATGGAACATGACTACGAGGAGGTGGTGAGACTACTGGAGGGAGAAATAGCTCAGCTGAAATTACAGCTTGGGAGACAATCGGTAAGATTATATTTCTATTATATTTGTATATATATTAACCCTTAAATGCTTAATTTGTGTTAGCTGCCTGAAGGACTGCCTTCACTCCATGTTGGTCATGAAAATTGTATTATAAACTGGTACAATTATTTTTTAACTTGATAGTTTTTGAAGAAGAAAAAAACCATTTCATATTGATTCTAAATAGTGCAAAAGAATGTTTTTAGCTTGTCAGTTTTGAAGGAAAAGTTTAACTAATATCATGGATGTGTCATTGTAGTTGTGCAATATCTTTATTTAAACATTTAAATAGGAATCAACATGAAACTTGGAATACTTGTTGATTATAACAAGGCACAGTTGTGAAGTAAGAGGCGTTATTCCTAAGCTATATTAGTTATGGCCTGTTACACTTTAGCTTATATTTCATTTTTTAGGGGTCAATCTTGGTTATTTATAATCTTTTCCACTAACAGACAAGTGGTTTTTTTTTGTGGTCAAAATTGGTTATTAATATTCATTTCCCTTAACAGACAAGTGTTAATACTGCATTTGTAACATTTTAATTCTTTTCGTGGATATGTACTATTTTAGAAAAATATACATGTTTTGATTTGGTACAGGAAGGCGACCCTATCATGCAGAGACGTCTGGCTGTGCTGACATGTCAGCTGAGGAAAGCTGAGTCCGAGAAGGAAACATTTAAAGTTGCTACAGAAAAACTTTTACAATTTGCAGAGGTATAAGATTACTACTTTTAACAATTTATATTAAGGCTTCCTCATTTAAAGCTTGACGGAATGACTTAATTAGTGCCATTGTGACACAATAAAACAAAATTATATTCGCTCTTTTCAAATGTTTCAGACTTTTGTTTTATAATTTATTTATTTTCTATCTAATGCTAAGCATAAAGTTTCTATAATGTATTTTGAAATATTTAACATTTTGACTTGATTTATTTGTAATTATAATATGATTTTAGTTTGATTGTGTAGAAGGCTATAAGCTTTATATACACACCCTTGAATCTGTTTGATGAACTAACCAGGACTAAGCAATGAGTGTAAAGTTTCTTGCTCAAGGAAACAACAGGTTGCCACTGACAAGGTTCAGACCAAAGGTTCCAATCAATTTTCTACTCAATATTATTTTCTGTAAATAACCCTAATTATTTAATAACATTTATAAGTAAATGCCCATTTAATACCATGTATAATTGATTTTTAGGGTGTACACGAGATGACCAGTGAAAATGGTGCAGCTTCCAGGTAACATTTTCTTGATCTTTAAATATCTAATTTGAGTATTACCTTTGTATGGTATAAGTTTGTAAAATTCAATTTTTTAAAATTTGAAAGTATAAAAACTGCCAGTGTGTGACTAAAATACCTTGAAAATAGGTAGTGCACTGCCCCTCCCCATCATCCCTCACATTTTTTTTACAGTTTTCTTATAAAAAGAATTGATGTTTTAAGGAGCATTTTATAGTTAGAGCATTTTAACCCTAAGTCTCACCAGCATTTATTTATTATATAACCATGTACATGAGTTGCACCATTTCCGGTTTCACATCAATTTGTACAATTATTTTATTCAGGCCTCTTGCTGGAGCCAAATCAACAGGTGTGTTAGGCAAGCATAAGAGAAGTACAAAAAGTATAAAGACAATGTCAACTGAAGCAAAAGACATCGTAAAATCTGTTAGATCACTCATTGATACTCAACGTAAGTTTTTAAAAAAAAATGTTTATTAATAATGACCTTTTTCTGTTTAGTATTATGTATAAATTTAATTTACACTTAAGAGCACTTAGTTTGCTTTCAAGATTAGTATACCAAGTCTTAAGTACATTTTTTACAATGTTTATCAGAAAAAAAAATGAATAGGTTTTATAGAATGAAGAGAAAAACATTTTTACAATGTAATTTTAACAGCAATTCAGGTAATTCTTAGAATTTTCTCTCGCCAACACATGTACTCTTTACTATGCAAAAAGCCTGTCTGATAAATTTGTTATTTTATTTTAGCATTACCTTTTGGTTGGGAAGAGACGTATACTTCAGATGGTATGAGATACTATATTAAGTAAGTATTTTGATACTATGATTTTTCTTATATGATAGATATTATATCTAATTCATTGTATATTATTGTATATTTTGTAATGCAATCTTTTATGCACTAGAAATATAAGATTATTTCTTTTAAAAAAGCTCTCCAGGCAGCTTAAAGAAGGTCATTGATACAATATAAGCGCGATATTCTTGCACAAATAGTGCTGAAAAATTAACATGAACTTTACAGTGACAGTGTGACTTGTCTTTTAATACCCTACACCAAAATATATATAAAAAAGAATTTTATTAGTTCGCTCGCAAGAGGTCAGAGGGTTTGTGTCAATGAAACATGTGCCCGTAAATTGAATGAGGACAGTGTATATAGGGTTTCTTTTACATTAATTTGTTACATTTCAGCCATTTAAATCAAGTTACAACTTGGACACACCCACTTTCCAATGTGACACACCTTCCTTCAGTGCAAGATGACAAGAAATCTAAAGGGGAGGAGCCTCAGCCATCTGGGTCACAGAGTTGATTCATTTCACCTCACATAGCAGGCAGGATTATTTTAAATCAGAGGACAAAACCATTATTGCATTTATAGCTTAAAGAAAATTTGTCACACTTTTTACAGGATCTTTTTCTTCATTTGAACTCTCACCTTCCTTTATTTGCGTAATGGACCTATCCTGCTTTAATTTTGGAAACTGTCCATTGTTAGTTGTAGGGATAATCACAGAATTGGTAGCTTGGAGCAGCCAACGGTATAGAGCCTGGTCAATCAGCTTGGATGTGCCATCTAAGCCATGCCTGAGCAAGACATTATAGTTTATATAACTTCCAATGGTTTGGAAAAAAATGTTTGTACTACAAGGAATTTTCATGCTGTTTTGTATGAACAAAATGAAACATCATCACGTATCGAGAATTTTGATAGTATAGCTCATTGATTGAATTGATCTAGATAGAGAGGGATGGAAGAGCTCAGGCAGTTTGAATGTAATTTAAAGAAAATCAATCAAGAGTTATCTTGCTTTTCTTTATTAATAATTAAGGCATATACAGTGGATTATCGAGATGTTAAGTGAGTATAGAAGATCATAGAAAAATTGTGCAGCTATGTGTATTTAATGTTATAATTCAGACAAGACACTGCCGTCTTTAATAATGCCAAGTCCTTGATAGAGAGTCGTGTCTGTTAAGACAAGTTAAGGAGAGTTAACATGTTGAGAGAGAGAGTTTCATGTTTATCGCAATAAGAGATATCTTCATGTAAAAAGTGATAAACATTTTAATAATAGTATACATTTGTATATGCCTGAAATTTTGTGCAGATTTTTGTATGTTACTGCCTTTCAAGGGTCTTCACCCTTTGGGGCTAAAAGTAGTTTTTCTGACTTTCTTTTATACTTAAAATCAGCAAGTATCCTATGATCTTTATTCATTTTGATTATTATTTTTTTCTACCTGATAATTATTTAAAATTTACCTCTTTTACTGTAAATATGTATTTGTTTAATTCACATGATGAAATCCTCTTAACATAGAATTTATATGATTGTTTTAAAAAACTATTTTTGTTTTTGCTGTTCTTATACATTTAAGTAATAACAGCCATAATTTTCCTCCTCTGAATAAGGCTTTATTTATGAGCTGAAATATGTTATGTTTAACTGATATATTAGTCGTGGCGTAAAAATTTTTTCACAATCACATCTTTAGATATGATATGCTGTGGTAAGGACACACTCTTATGCATAATATATAAATATAATTACTCAGTAGTGATGTTATTGCACTGGTTAAAAATCTGCATGTTGTTTTACAATAAGTAATTGTTTATGAGTTATTTTGAACTGTATTCCAATTTGTTTTAACTATGAAGCTTTGGTCGTTTTTTTCTAAATTTTATATAAACTTAAACACATTGAGTGCACTCTTTAAGCTTTAATGTTCATAGACAAATAATAGGTCACTGCGGTTTGTAATAAACAATGCTACAGTACATCACAAATGTTATCAATTTTATTGTGTTCAAATTTAAAGTCTTCACTTGTATCCTCATTTGTAAATCTATTTTTTAACCTACATTTGACAAATAATCTAAAGTCAGCTGCGCATGCAAAGCATCGTTCTACCCTTTATGAAGAAGAATTTGAATGGCTACCAATAGACAAGGCTTGTGGTGACACAAAACTCAAGAATGGCTACCGGTTAGAATCCAGACTGATGGTTACCAAAATAAAGTGCTTTGTGGTTACCAAGATAAGGCTTGTGGTTACCAAATTATGGCTTAAATTTACCAAGATGTGGCTTGTGGTTACCGTAATGTAGCTTGTGATTACCAAGATAAGGTTTGTGGTTACCAAAATTACATATATTTTTTCATTTCTGAAAACATAGTAGGTTAATTTTTCACTTAGTTAATATTGGATGTTCAATCTAAGAAACATAAACAATTGTTATTGAATTTTATCATGTTTTTTGTTTTAACAGTAAGAATTGTGCCATTGTGTGTAATTGTAGTTTAATATTTTACAGTACAATGTTGAGAAGGTGCATTTAGTGTATAAAAACATGTACATGCTTGTCAAAACATATTTACTTCTTTTCAAGGACATATGTATTGTAAAATGATAGGGGATTTAGGTTCTTGGACCCGAGAGGCGCAGGGGAGATTTTCACACTGTCCTTGTGAAAGAAAGGAGATTTCGTATGTATATAGAGTTATGTTATATATTTTTCCCTATATGTTTTTAATAAAATTTTCAAAATGCAAAAATTTTTAAATAAGATATAAGTGTCTCGTTGATTTATGTGGTAAGCGGAGGAAAATTTCCTTCTCTCGGTGTGTAGAGAAAATAGTGGAAACACAAGATCGAGCTATCGTGAGCGGCAAACAACGTAGTTCTCCTTGGTATTAGTTGATAGAGAAATATATTCCTGTGTAAAAAACGTAATTTTTAATCGTGTGTATATCTACGATCGGCTGAACAACCAGCTGGCGTTATGCATGTAAAATGAGCTTTATTTTGTCTATGTGAGAAACAGTCACATATTTTATGATCGCTAAAATCCGATAATAGGATGGGTGAAGCAACATGTTATCCATTTGATATAAATTTTACCAGTGTAAAACTACAACCACATGTTTATATCTAGTTCTTGACCAATGTTAACTTAGATTTTTACAATTTTACATATTCATAATATTGGTATTTTTTAGATTTTGAGAGGTAATATCGATATCACCATTGAGAGTTGAAACATTAGTTTTTACGATATCATATAGCCATTAAAAGAATTTTTAAAACTGTATTGGCATATGATGATAAATAAGTGAGTTTAAATCTCGATCAACTGAAGTCTTGAATATAGTCTCTTATATTTCAGAATTACTTAGTATGATATATTCAATATTTCACCGATAGAACCAATGTTAGAATTTTTCAATTAATTAGTAGCTTGAAAATATACAACAAATGTAATTTTTAAAAAGGTTAAACTGAGGTACATAGAGGATATTGAATGCGTGTAGATTTAATACTAAATTTATTAAACTCGTTCATTAAATTAAGTATTAAAACTACATTCATTCAGTATCCTGGATGAATTTAAACAAGTTATGAATATAATATACCATTTATCACATATGTAACAGTTTACAGTAAAAAGTAGTCAATTTTTGTTGACACCCCAATAGTGTAATGCTAACATAAGCGTGCTTTAACAATATGTTTAAGAAATAATATATCCCAAACTGTGATTTTATTGCCCAAAAACATCACTGTTTGGAGTTCGGATGCAGGGAATTACATCACGAGGGCGTAGCACGAGTGATATAATGATGCGCATCCGAATGACAAACTGTGATTTTATCCAGCAATAAAATCACCAATTTGGATATATTATTTTGATTCTAACACAACATCAACAAATAAAAGCTGCGGTACCTGATATTAAGCTAAATTGCGCCTGATTTGTTTCCGTACTTATTGTCAGCACGTCACATTTTTAGTGGTTACATCACGTGTATAATGATAACGTCACATGTCTAAATATAGAACGTCAAACAGTGATTTTATAGCATAATAACACACACTTTCGGTTCTTCTATGGGGAAAAATGCGGGTTGTATTAGAATTATATATGACGCAAATGACATCACGTCAGAATGTTATCATACAAGTGTAATATCGTTTTTATCAAGGGCTTTATTACACTATGATTTGTGTGATAAATGAATTTATCTTTTATATCAATTTGATTCTAAATTTTGTTGTTTATAGTGTCATGAATATGTAAATCTTATATTCTAGTCTGGATATAGTTGCATTTAAAGATCTGTCTCTCATTGCATTTATATATGTATACTGTGATTCTTAATATACATCATTTATATATAATACCAGAATGTTTGCCTTTTATTATTTACTGATTATTAAACAGGAGATTTTTTGCTGTGTAAGCAAACATTTATATAGTTTAGTTATATGTTAGTTTTGTATACAATATTGCAAAGAGAAAAACATATTTTCTATGCTTGTAACATGCATGTAGTATTTGATAATGAAAGTGATTTTCTTTCTATGCATTTCAGTGGTTGTGATGACTTTTTCTTTCTTGTTTTAACACCATTTATAAGTGATATTTATGTAGGTCAGACTGTTTAAAAACAGAAATAATAAAATATTCATAAAATGCAGCTTCTATCATTGGTTAATTTAAAATAGAAAGTGGCCAATCAGTTGAAGACATTTGAGAATGCAGATCTTTCCTAAATTGTATGGGCTTTCATTGGTAAATTTCAAATTAGTATTAGCCAATCAAACAGGGATATTTGAACATCTTATTGGCTAACCTCTATTTTACAATAGCCAATCAAACTGAGGTACTTAAGAATTAATAACATCTTTAGACGTTATGTAATGTCATTGACTAATGTGATATGGATCAAATTTGAATATGCCACTTGAATAATACATGTATTGAGAGTATTTTTAGAAGTTTAAACTTAATCAGTTTTATCAATGTAAATACTTAATTATTAAATATATTTATGTTGTTTGTCAATCCTAAAATAATGCCAAATGCACAGTTTTATGAAAATAATTATCACAGAAAATCTCTCAAGTGAATTGTTTTTTTTTTGGGTGTTCTGTTATATAGAGAAATATTTTATGTAGAATGAATCAAGTATTTTGAGTCTTCCATTTATTTGTCTGTTGGGATTTTTCACTGGATTGATAAAATTCTTGAATCTTAAACTATGTTAAATACTCATTTAAATCATGATTTTCTTGTTATAACTGCACAACTTAGATACTTTTATAAATACAGTACAAGGGAAGTAAAGGCAATTAATGCACCAATACTATTAGGGGTTTTTTTACCAATGAGATATAATTTGTATAATTCATTGCATATTTTTCACTGCATAAACTTAATATTATGTTTATAATACTTCATTTAGTATTTACACTACTTAAGTAACATGTCTCTAGGTTATGAATTGAATAAAACACATTGAGATTTTATCTTCTAAGCACATTATTAACTTTTTCACTGTTAAAAAGATAACAAATGCTACCGTATTTATGCCATTAATGGCACCCACCTGTTGTACTGCACAGTAAGGCTAGGAATTTTTTGACACAATCATGCACATAAGGCCCACCATATACAAATGTTTTAAGGGTTTTAGATGCACAGATTAAGTGTTTAATACACTGCTACAACTAAAAGAACAGAAGTTAAATCTTGCATCAAACCATTAAAAATACACTTCATACATTGAAATCAAAACCCTGTGCAATATTAGCTGTGGATACATTTTAATGTAAATATTTAAAAAAAGAAGTTTTGGTTCTTCTGAAAGACAGCTGTAGGTTGTTGGCTTTTTTAACCTAAGTTTTTTTACCCTTGTGAGATTTAAATGGTTGTGTTATAAACATGATAAAGGAATACTGATCTAAGGTGTAAATTGTCCCTACTTTAATATGTATATTTTTATAATTGAAAGTGTTTTCCTTATTCTGTTTTAGTAATGAACTGACTTGTCCGGCTTAAGTTTGAGAATTGTTCATTGTTAATTTAAGAATTTTAATATCTATATTTTACAATTATGCTTTGAGTAGTATCAAAATGTTGTCAGACTTCTGCGAAGAATACAGTGCTCGGGTTGTTCTTCTTGTGGAATTTATTTGTTTCAAAATTGTGACTGGCAGGTTTAGGATCAGTTGCCATTTATTTCAAGGCTGCCAAAAGTATTGCTAAGGAGCAGTGTTCTGTAAATCATTAATTGAGATTTACAATTTAATGAGGCAAAATCATCACTATTGTCTATGTATTCTCTTGTAGTGAAATCTATACCATCATAAACGGGACCACAATGTAAGCAGTTACATCATTAGTGTAACTATGTTATTTTGTTTTTATTAGTTTATTGTAATAGGACATTTTCAGACACAGTTCTGAGATCTAAAAATTTAAAGTAAGTGTTTATATGAGTATATATAATAATATATGTAATAATAAATGACAATTTTTGCTTGTCATTGATAAAATGTTCTTTAAAACATTTTGAGATGTTGATAAAATATTCTTTGAAACAGCTTTGCCAGGAGTCTTTTTTTAATTTTGAAAGATATTGTTAAGTGTCATATTATGTTAAATATATTCTTTTTTCTCCCTCCAATTTAGTTGAACTTATATGTGTGTGCTGTACAATTCTTAAAAAAACAATTTAGAAAGAAAAAAGTTAAATTTTGGACTTCAACATGTTGTGTTCTTTTAAGTTATTAAAAATGTGTTGTTCTTGTAAAGTATTTATTACATGTTAAACAAGAACTTTAGTAAATGAGTGCTATAATTTTATATTAAACTTACTAACCTAGTGTATATTTTGCATTTGACTTACTGGCACTGTGACCTAAATGCCATTTATTATGAAGTTGACCAATTATGAAAAACCTAACCTACTGACCCAAATGCCATTTATTATGAAGTTGACCAATTATAAAAAAACCTAACCTACTCACCCAATTATATTGAGCTGACTAACAACCCCAATTTTAACAAGTTGACTTACTGATCCAATGTTTTACAAGTTGACCTACTGATCCAATTTTTTACAAGTTGACCTACTGACCCAGTTATGAAAAAGCGTACCTACTGACCCAATTATTTTAAAGGTAATTATTCTGACCAAAAAATTGCTTTTTTGTAAAAACCTAACAGATCAGAATGTGTTATGACTCATTTCTAAAAAAGGTGTTTTACTAAATATTTATTGTTGATATTTAATTAACTATATATATTATAGTAAACTTTTTTATATAGATATAAATTATTTTAGTTGATTAAAGATCTGATTTCTCAGTAGTTTAAGGTATTTTAATCTTATCTCTATTTTAATATTTGACAACTGTGAATGGTTCATGTAATTGTATCTCATATTAGTACGAAAGACCGATTGGGACATTTCAACTCATGAATTCCCGATTTCATCCGAAATTCACAAATTCTGTTTGATGAAAACATGAATTCACGAAGTTAAAATTATTACTTCAGGAAGATGAAATCGGGAATTGATGAAGTATAAATTTCCCCACCAGTCTTTCGTATAAAAGTGATAGTTATAATTTATAGTATTACTCTGTATACTTTCTTTTTATCTATTAACCTTTTTTTCGGTGCTAATAAAATAGTATGGTAATTGATTTATATGTTGTTGTTTTTGTGTTGTTAGAAATTTTTTATGGCTAGTTGCCCCATGTGAAGGGCATATTGTATGCCATGTGTGGGTGAGTGGGTAGGTGTGTGTATGAACATAGTAAATAGTGAAGTTGACAAGAGCGATAGGTTATGTGTTTTCTTTACTTAGATCAACGTGATATTTTTTCTGTTTTTGATTACCACACATGACCATGCATTTGGGAAAAATAAGAGCGCCACAATGACAATATTTAACACCTGACTTATATAGAATAAGACATATTGTATATACGTTATTCTAATGAAACTTAATTCAAGTTTTAGGGATCGTAATTAGTCACTGTTCAAGGCCCATAATTCTGACACGGATTTTTATGCCCCCGGGAGGCATATTAAAATCGAACCGTCAGTCTGTCCGTCCCACTTTGTACAGTGGTGGTCGTGTCCGCTCTGAAACTTCAGTATGCATGGAAGGATTTTTATTTTTCTTTCATATATGATATAACCATAGATGTATGGTGTGTTGCGAACAAGACTCGGGGTTTCTACCACTAAGGTCAAGGTCACTGTGGGAGTTCAGACTTTGTCCTTTTTTATGTTATATAAATATAGATGGTGGTAGTGTCCACTCTGAAACATCAGTATGATTAGAAGGATTGTAATCTTTCTTTCACATATGAAATAACCATAGATAGGTGTGTCGCGAACAAGACTAGGGTTTCTACCATTAAGGTCAAGGTCACTGTGGGGGTTCAAACTTTGTCAGTTTTAATTTTATATAATATATAGAAGTCGTGGTTGTGTCCGCCCTGAAACTTCAGTATACATGGAAGGATTGTAATTTTTCTTTCACAATGAAATAACCATAGATGTATGGTGTGTCGGGAACAAGACTCAGGTTTCTACCACTAAGGTCAAGGTCACTGTGGGGGTTCAAACTTTGTCAATTTTGATGTTAACATACATATAGGCAAAGATGGTCGTGACTGCTCTGAAACTAATTTGCATAAAAGGATCAAAGGATCAATTTTTTTTTATTTCACATATGAAATTATCATAATTGTTTGATGGGTTGCCCTTAAGACCCATGTTCCTACACTTTAGTTCAAGGTCACTGCTGAGGTTTAAATTTTTTCAATATATATTTTATACTAAGTATACATATAAATGGTGGTTGTTGTGTCCGCACTGTAACTTCCATATACATGAAAACATTAAGTCACGATAGATGGACAATGTGTTGTGAACCAGACACAGGTTTCTTTGTCTCACTTAAAGGTCACTGCTGGGGTTCGAACTTTGTCAATTTTTACCACCACACTTAACATGTAATAGTTGGTTTATAACTAGAATCCTTCGGGGGCATTTGTCACTTTCTGTGACAGCTCTTGTCTCTTTATTGTAGCCCTTTTTGACTTTAGAAAATTCTTGGTTAAAGTGTGCATTCAACATCATTCATCAAAACTACTGACGGTATAAACTTGAAACTTGATGCAAATTATATACTGGGTCATATTCCAAGGTCCATAACAATAACATGGATTTTGGCTGAATTATGGCCTTCTATGAACTAAGAAAATTCTTAGTTCAAGTTTTTAGTGCAATTTTGTTGTGATTAATGCTTCCAAGGGATCACCCTTTCTCCAGATCTCCTTTGTATCACGCTAGTTCGTCAGTATGTTATTAAATATCGTGTCAAAATGGATAAAAAATAGATACATGTACTTGTTAGAAAATGACTAGATAGAAAATATCCTTATTGAAATAAATGACTAAATTTTTTTTCTCACTTAAATATATTTTTCCGGGTATTATAACTGAAAACTAAGCATATAAAAGACCTTTATGTCACAAGATGGGCAAAGAGGATTTCAAATAATAATAGTAATAATTGAAATTAAGATTTAAAGAAAATTGCGTTAGGTGTTTAAAAATTTTTAAGTACCATCAGTGTATATTGATGCAAAGCATAAATTACTTTTTTCTGCTATTAATTAGTAGCTAGTTAATTTCAATAACCCATTTTGCAAGTATTGACATTTTTATAGGAAAATTAGATTGGAATGAAAGAGGGGGCATGAATAAATAAAAGGCGGGGCGGGGCAGGGGTAAGAGTATCAAAAGTTTGAACTTATTCACATTCTTCTAATTTGACATGTTTCGATATAGTGGTGGACATGTTCAACATCCGCCGCAAATTAGATACACGTTATTTAAAAAAGCATAATAAACACACGCACGCACACACACAGACAGACACACAGACACACACACACAGACACTAGAAATATACAACTGAACTTTATATATCAATTATACAGCCATCGTTTTTCAAAAGCGTTTTATAAAATTCGATGACATATCAGATGTACATGAGATGAAACCACATTGACCATGAAACAAATTGGAATTATGCAGGTGTCATTACATTTCAAGTTTTATTACTTTTACGCTTTTACAAAAAAAAGCAAATAATTATATACTTCGTTGAAAAGAAGTATAAAAAAGGTTATTTAAGGGGTGGCAAAAATTGACATTATTCAAAGACGGTTTTCGCGAGGTGTCGGGCAGGAGTGGGCGTGTGGGGGGCACGGTCCGATCATACTCAACGGGTCCTCGATCACCAAACTGGCCCACGCCGTTCGTGCTAGGCACCCAGATAAACGTCCGTTTGTCATCCATTTCCGCTACCGGAATTCACGTTCAAGACGCCGCAGCCGGGCGACATGAATTTTGACCGAATTTAAATATTACGTTTTGAACTTGCTCTAACAGGTTGTTTTAAATGACAATGCTTGTATGATAAGTGCACATGGTGCGATTGATGAAAATGCAATTTATTTGGTCTTTAATATAAAGGTTTGTACTTGGTTGCGATAAGTCACAAGTTTAATCCAACCGATCCTCATCTCAAATTTCTGTGGGTAAACACAGATTTTATCAGATTGATCGAACCTTTCATATTTTGCCGGTGGTCCTATGTTGCAGTGTCGTGTGGGGTTGCGTTCATTGAACGCCGCCATTCCTTGTTGATCTTGTTTTTTTTCCTATAATTTTTGCACCTTTGTTTCAATGGCGTCGAACAATAAAATCATCATTAATTATACCAAACCAAACCATAGCGAAGACTATGTATATAAAGTAATCAAAACCAAACAAAAGGAAAAGCACTTCTATAATGTTAGAAGAGAAACAATTCCACAACAGTATATCCATTCACTACCTATATTTAATCATTATTTTGAATAACAAAAATAACATTTTTTTGTAAGTGAATGGAAAGGCTTCTCAATTTATCCAGGAGTATGAGAAGAATCCATTTTGTAACCAGAATTCGCACTGTGCTGCATGATAACTGCGGAAAGGTTTTGTTTCCGTGTCAAGTTCAGCTGTGACGTCAGGATACTGCAGCCAATCAGCTGTCTCTGGTTTTCCCGTTTTAACAAATGCACCAATTTCACGCAGCATACGAGTTTCCCATTCGTAATCTCGTGCTTTACGACCATTTGGTAAGGGATAATCCATGGTCTGAAAGAAACCAAAGGTATCAATGCCATGGTATGCATATCTGGCTGGATCTGGTACACCAAAAGGTGTTGCAGTTTGTTCCTTTGAGTAATAAGTTGCCACGTAGCGATATACCGGTGACGTCATTCCGGCTGCTAAGATAGATGACAAGTAGTCCGTTCCACAGGTGACACTGATGTCAGTCATCATCGTTGTAAGCTGGTACTCGGGTGTAAGCACATTCTCAGGATAAAGCTTCAGAGCTGTGTTGGCAACGAAGTCACTAAATGTTCCAAGTCTCTTCAATACGTGGTCTCTGTAATTACTCGAATTCCATGTCCATTTCAAAGCTTCAACAGGCGCCGGTCCCAAGTCGGATTCTTGCGCCGTCGATCCTACATATGCGGTACAAATAGAGGACGTGAGTCACCAAGACGAAAACATAAGAACGGTTCATATTACTGACAAGAATGTTAAGGTAAATAAACACCACCGTATTGACAATATTTATCTTATACCTTCATGTAAAGAACTATACAAGCAAATGTGACCGGTTGAATAAAATAAACACTAAATAAGCTACAGCTACATGTTAATAATTTTGAGATTATTAGTTTTCAAATGTTTTCACCAATATTGTACAATAAGTTTTAAAAGGTAAACATGTAAAAAAAAATGATGGCAGCGAAAATAGTTGATCACTTGAATAAATCATTAAAATTAAAATATTTTGGTTGTACTTTAAATACAGTTTAGAAAAAGGACATATTAAAATTCGCTTACCAATCATAACTGGAACATCTACACCCATGCTACGTGACCACACCTCAAATGGTGCATCGAGGAGGACGTATCCTAATAAATGTAAACATATATATCAAAGACTTGTTTAAAATTTTGTTGTTAAGTAACATAAAATGCGCTGTAACATTTGAAATAAATTATAAAAAAAAGTCCAACAATTTTGAATGTGTACACTACTGTTACTTGTACCTTAAGTGTTTTTGTTACGAATATCTTATGAAAGGGAAATAGACAAGAAATAATTATTGCAATTGCTGGCTATTGAGAAAGTACAGACTATCATTTATGACCCATGTTAAGTAAGCTCCCCGAATAGCACAGGTTTGATTACGTATAAGAAGAAATTGAGATTGTATTCTACGACAAAGATATTGGAAAACTATAAGTGCTTTGTTAATCCGGAGACAACTCCTGCCGTATAAAGATTTCCGGGGAGCTTTACCCGACGCTTTGTCAGCCGTATAAAGCTGTCCGGGTAGCTTTACCGACGCTTTGTCAGCCGTATACAGCTTTCCGAGGAGCTTTACCCGATGCTTTGCCTGCAGTATGAAGCTTTCCGGGGTGCTTTACCCGACGCCTTGTCTGCCGTATAAAGCTTTCCGGGGAGCTTTACTCGGCTACTCGACGCCTTGTCTGCCGTATAAAGCTTTCCGGGGAGCTTTACCCGACGCCTTGTCTGCCGTATAAAGCTTTCCAGGGAGCTTTACCCGACGCTTTGTCTGCCGTATACAGCTTTCCGGGGAGCTTTACCTGATGCTTTATCTGTCGTATGAAGCTTTCCCGGGAGCTTAACCCGACGCCTTGTCTGCCGTACAAAGCTTCCCGATACCTTGTCTGCCGTATAAAGCTTTCCGGAGAGATTTATCCGACATGGCGTCTGAACTGCTATGATTATGGCGAGCTATTTTCATTCATCACTTGCACAACTCTCCTTCATTTTGAGCTAGATTTGATGTAATTATCATAATGTATGCAGCAAATACTTATGTCTAGAAAACAGCTGGAAGCTGCATACGGCGTGAACTATATACGGCATACTATAGATCCCGTATTAACTATTAAGGAGTAATCAGGTTTATGACCTTTATTGAATTAACTATTGTTACTATGTTTGATGGCTTTATATTTTTCTAAAGATCCAACCAGAGCTGATAAGGAAGAAAACGAACCATCAACAATAGCCAGAGCTCCGTCGAATCTTCCTTTTTCCGGTAAACCACTTTGGTCTTCCATAGCCCAGTATGGATAAACGTCCCATGGAATGTTTGTTATTACGTCAGACGCAGATAGGTTATATAAACATGTGACGTCAGTGCAGCCAGTGTTCTTTATAAAGATTTCATTGTCTTTTGATGCCTCAGCAAACGTTTTATTCATAACTGGCGAGGCGCTTATCATCCAAACCTTGTCAAATAGACCTCTACAAAGCGGTGAAGCAAGAAGAGCAATCAGCGCTGTTCCGCCGGAGCTTTGACCGAATGCCGTTACCTTAAACGTGCAAAAAAACTTCTTAAATAAGTGAATGTATGAAAAGATGAGTTATGCTTAAATATATTTAGCTGTATATAAAAAGATAAATTATTAGTTTAAAAACCTTTAAAATAATTCGGACAAAATTATCGCTATAGAGAATATGGTGCAATATTTATAATTATTTGAGGGCAAGATAGGGCGAGAATTGCCTGACCCTTTCGTTCATGTTTGCCGCGCCTAAGAAAATCTATATTCAAAGACAATATCCTATTTTTCTTTTTATTGTGTAACAAATTAACAGCCAAAATAGAACTTGATTTTTTATTCATCGAAGAGGACATTTCCCTGCATTAAATATACTTGAAATTCTTTTTGCCCATAGAATGTCAGATGAGATTATCAAATTAAATTTCCAGCCTATAAGAAAATAAGTCTACCTTAAGTTGTCAAGCTTTATAAGACAATACCTTACTCTCTCATTTTAACCTCTAAATATTATACAAGGAGACGCAATTTTAGTATTTGTGAGACAGGTGTCCAGTGGCAGTTGTCTTCGCTAAAAAGCTATTTTACTTAATTCTAATGGATGAAATGACATCACGCTAGAATTATTTATACAATATTTGAATATATCGTGAGTCTAAACACTGCTGGTAATTTAAAAGCTATAAATACCTGGCTTGGATCGCCACCAAAGTTTTGAATATTTTCCTGAACCCAACGAAGTCCTTCAATCATATCCATGAAACCATAGTTACCGGAAGTATTCGTTGGTGAACCGTTTTTAAGCCATTCTAAAGCCATGAATCCAAACGCATTAAGTCTGTAATTTATGCTGACAAATACAACATTAAGTTGTTTGGCTAAAGCTAGTGTCGGAGCGTAGCCAATATCATACTGGTTCCCGTTTCCGTACAAGAGATATCCGCCATGAATCCAAAACATTACAGGAAGTTTAGCAGACGAATTTAATGACGGCGTTAAGACGTTTACATAAAGGCAATCTTCATTTCCAATTATCTTTGAATTATTCGCTGGATCTCTCTGAACGCATGGACTTTGAAAGTTATGAGCCTTCAATGTTCCATTCCAGCAATTGTTGTTTTCCTTTCGAACCGCTACCGGAGGCCGCCATCTTAAATTTCCAACTGGTGGACTTGCGTACGGAACTCCACGGAATGAGAACCCAGCGTCTGTTTGTGACCAAATACCGTCAATCTCTCCGCATTTGACTCTAACGTTTGCTCTAGGATCTACAGGTGATAAAATAAATCCAGAAATTTCTATGAAAAACGTCCAAATAGAAAATAAAACAAGTAAATAATTACGCCAGTATTTCATGATTTTAATTCAAAAGAACTTTAAAAAATTCAATATGTGTATTAATGTTGCATGATAACCTAGTTTGGTAACCTAGCTATCAACTACACACCGTCTTAACAAAATGACCATTAAAATGTTTTCCATTTGACATTCTTTGTATATACGTAGATAAATTTACTTGTCCCACTTAGAGTCACCTTATAAATGTGTTTTCCAATTAAATATAAATATGAGTTGTCAGCAGTTTTTTTTTAAAAATCCGTATTGTTATTAGAAAATAGCTTTTCTGACATAAATTACCACTAAAAAGCATTTTCTGATGTTGGATTTGTATTGTTTTGTTTCAAACTTTGAAACTTTATTTTGGAACAGTATCATTGTTTTCGTTTATGACTTGATTCCACACACCGTAAAAACGTTCCGATCAAGTAATTACAGTGAATAACGTCGAAATCGTGAGCGGGGCAAATTAACATGTGCTTTTTTTCCTCATCACCCATTTTGGTAGATACTTTACGAAACGGATGATATATAAATCCATGTCTAAAGACAGTTTTGAAATAACATCTCTGAAAAGTCACTTTATTAATTTTTCTCTTGAATTTGCAGATGTTAAATATTTCTTATATAGGCTAAAATGATACATGTATAATGATATACAATGTTTATACAATCTGTTACGAAAGTAAGGCAAGGCAACAGTTTGAAACATAATTTAAGTGTTGATAAGAAACAGCTTTACAATGTTGTTAGAACTTAATACATACATGAGGTATTGTATTTATTTTATCAATAATACACATTCACAATAACAATTGAATAAACTTTATGCATACAGTTACACAACTTTCTAGCACAGTGGTATTTTTATTGTATCGAATTTAACTACTTTGCGTGAAATGAACCAATCTGTTACCACATTAACGTACACGTATCGCTCAATAGTATATTTCTACAGCAATTCATAATTTACAATATATTACTTTCAAGGTTGAACATTATTAGTGAAGCATAAAAAAGGTTACGATATAATCAAATAAATAGCTATGAAATGTTCTACGATTGGCATAGAAAAAAGATTCATACATATCAGGGCATATATCGTATATCTATTTAA